TAAGAAAGATAAACTCAATACAATTTAAATCATAAATATTGATAGTTATTAACTAACATCAGAATTTGATGACTTTGAATACCCATGTCTTATATGATATAAATAATTAAAATCAGAATCTTATATTACACAAGGCTGCTACTATTATATCAACAAAATGAGCAAGTTATTTAGTTAATGGTTCTTCCATTCCTAAAAAACCTTCACTTGGTGATAATAATTAATCTTTCTCTACCTAAACTTTTAGTTTACATTTTAAACAAGTCTAATTTGATTAATGTATATTACTTCAATAACGGCTACTGTATTATTATTTTTATCTAATAACGGTTGGGCAAATATTGGTAATATAGATTTAATGTCTACAGCTTGATTGAAATGAATAGAGTTTTTTACATCATTTATTATTAACTTTTATTTTGTATAGGCCACCATTCCTGCTAATCCATATTATACATCATATTTTTTAATCTCTTAAGTACTGTAATCTATAAGTTAATTGTCTTCAAAAAAGTAAAACAACACTTAAGAGAATCCAAATATTTAACTAAGACTTAATTAAACTCTAGAAGAGAATTCTTGTTTACTTTAACTTTTCATTAAATTTGTAAAGCCGTCCATCATCATCCCTCTATATTTTTATGTAATTAACCAAGATTAACTTAAATAATCAAAATTATATACTTATCAATTAGTCTTTATAATAAATGTCCAAGTTGATGAGATGCTAAAATACCAAAATATTCTTCATCAAAAGAAAAGAATTCATTTTCAGTATTTGTTACTTCTAAAACACCTCTTATAGCATCATTACTTTCACAAAATAAAGGTAATAATAAAGCATTTCTAGCATAATCAGCTTATTCAGAATCATTGATTCTATATAATAATGGTTTTTATGATGCCTATGAAATATTTTATGCTGCTCTTAATTTAAAAACATCAGCAACTTAACCTTTATGTTATAATGCTCTAATCTAATTACCAGTTTCTAAATAAGTAAATATTGTCCCATTCATTCCATCAATTAACCATAATCTTACTTATTCACATCCAAATACTTATGGTAATACTCTATTAACCTAATGTATTATCTATTGAATTAATATTTTATTTTACATCTTCAAAAAGAATGCATTTGCTAAATTACTCCATATAAAAAAAAAATTAATTCATCTTTTCAGCGAACTCTTTATAAGATAATAATTATTAAGCTATTATTTAAAATTGTTCTTTTTAGGATTCTACAGGTAATGTAAAATTATGTTAACAAGTTGCTAAAACACCTTTGTCTGTAAGATCATTTAATAAATGTTAATTATTTAATCTTTAACTTACAACTCTGAAATCTAAAGTCTATGGTATTCTAAAATTAACTAATAAATCTATGTCATCTTTTCTAAATACAGATTTTTCATCTTTCCCTATATCATCTTAATTTTTTTTTCTCATATTATCTATTGTCTTCTGTAATCTATTTACCAATTATGTATATTAATTAAGCTTTCCTTAAATTCTCTCTAATTCTTGCTTCTTGTGTTCAAACTCTCTCTTTATTAATTCATTCTCTTTTAGTAATTCATTTAGACTGCTTCTTAATTTATCATTTGGATTCAAAGCTGAATTAACATCATTTTCTAATAAAAACTCTATTCTTTTTTCTAAAGCAGAAATTTTCTTAGAATTAGATGCATTCAATTTTCTCTCTTATTTTAGTTGTTTTTATAATTTAGAATTCTCATCTAATAATTTATTAGTCTTTTAACTATGTACATCAATTACACTTTGAAGAGATTGATTTTTATCTGATAATTTCAGTTACTTCATTTATAATGATGAATACTTAACTACCATAAGTTAATTAAAATACTATTCTTCCTCTCTATTTCTCTCATCTTGAAGCCTAATTCAATTTCAGTCTTTGCTGATTGTTATAAAGTTTAAGAAATGCTTTTTAACAATTCTTGAATTTTCTACAAAGTAGTTTGATTTTTAATATTATGGACAAACTCTTTACCACCAATGACTGAGATTAATAAATCTAAAGTGCTACACCTAGATTTAAGAATTTCATGCATTTCACGAATTCGCTGCATTTTAATAAATAATTACTAAGAGTTCTTCATCTAATTAGTCAGACTATTTGTAACCATATGAATCTTGTTCTTCTGCTATAGTAATAGTTGGTCTTTCTGCACTTATCAATTTTCTAGTGTTTGAGTTTGTTGTACTCACTGAGTTAAATTGAGTACTCATCTTTGGCAAGGCTTGTATATAAGATCGAGGAGTTCCTAGTTATTGTGGTCTTTAAAAGTCTTCTGAAAAATGTTAACGATGATGTTAATTAAGAAGCAATCCCAATCCTTTACGTGATGCTTTTGTATTATCTGATGTTTACATTATTAATTTAAATACATTATAATACAATTATAAACTCTTTATATATATTATTTATATCATCAATAAATTATATACTAAATTAATTTATAATTTATTCATTTCTAGAATATCACTAAAATTATAATTAACCCATAGAATTCTTGATTTTAGAAAATTCTAGATATTTTGTACTTTAAATACTTTACTATATCACTAGAACCATCAATTAATTTAATCAATGTCAACAACTCACAATAAAGAAGAACAATTTCATTTTAATGCAGATATTCAACAATTAATGGGACTCATTATTAATACATTCTATTCAAATAAAGAAATTTTTATTAGAGAACTCATCTCCAATGCTTCTGATGCTTTAGATAAAATTAGATATAAATCAATAACTGATCCAGATAGTGCAGGATTAAATGTTGAACCAAATTTCAAAATTAAAATTATTCCAGATAAAAATAATAACACCTTAACTATTCAAGATACTGGTATTGGTATGACAAGAGATGAATTAATTAATAATCTTGGTACTATTGCTAAATCTGGAACTAAAGCATTTATGGAAGCACTTAATTCTGGAGCTGATATTTCTATGATTGGATAATTTGGAGTTGGATTTTATTCAGCTTATTTGGTTGCTGATAAAGTAGTTGTACTTTCAAAAGCTGTTGGATAATAACAATACAGATGGGAATCTTAAGCTGGAGGAACATTCTTTATCTATGATGACAGTGAAAACCCCAATTAATTGACTAGAGGTTCTGCTGTTATTCTCCATCTTAAATAAGATAATTTAGAATTTTTAGAAGAAAAGAGAATTAAAGATTTAGTTAAAAAACATTCTGAATTTATTGGTTTTCCAATTGAATTGTAAGTTGAAAAAACTCATGAAAAAGAAGTTAGTGATGATGAGGAAGATAATAAAGAAAAGAAGACAGAAGAAGGAGAAGTATAAGAAGAAAAGACAAAAGATGATAAGAAGAAGAAAAAAAAAATTAAAGAAGTCACTACTGAGTTTGAATAAGTTAATAAAAACAAACCTTTATGGATGAAGAAACCAGAGGAAATCACAAAAGAAGAGTATGCAAATTTCTATAAATCATTAACAAATGACTGGGAAGATCATTTGAGTGTCAAATAATTTTCAGTTGAAGGTGGCTTAGAATTTAAGGCTGTTCTTTTTATTCCTAAAAGAGCACCCTTTGATTTATTTGAAACCAAGAAGAAGAAGAATAATATTAAATTATATGTTAGAAGAGTATTCATAATGGATGATTGTGAAGAATTAATTCCAGAATATTTAGGATTTATTAAAGGAGTTGTAGACTCAGAAGACTTACCATTAAACATTTCTAGAGAATTTTTATAACATAATAAGATTTTGAAAGTAATAAAAAAGAACATTACTAAGAAATGTATTGAAATGTTTTAAGAACTTTCAGAAAATGCAGAAGATTATAAGAAATTTTATGAATAGTTTTCAAAAAACATCAAATTAGGTATTCATGAAGATTCTGCTAATAGAACAAAATTAGCTGAATTTTTAAGATTCCACACTTCAAAGAGTGGAGAAGATTAAATTTCTTTAAAAGATTATATTGGAAAGATGAAAGAAGGATAAAAAGATATATTTTTTATAACAGGTGAATCAAAAGCTTCTGTAGCAGCATCACCATTTGTTGAAAGTTTAAAGAAGAAAGATTATGAAGTAATTTATATGGTAGATCCAATTGATGAATATGTTATTTAATAGTTGAAAGAATTTGAAGGAAAGAAACTTAAGAATTGTAGTAAAGAAGGATTAGAATTAGATTAAACAGAAGATGAGAAAAAGAAATTTGAAGAACTTAAATCATAATTTGAAGGTTTATGTAAATTAATAAAAGATATACTTGGTGATAAGATAGAGAAAGTATAATTAGGATAAAGATTAGATCAATCACCATGTGTTTTAGTAACAGGTGAATATGGATGGTCAGCTAATATGGAGAGAATAATGAAAGCTTAAGCATTAAGAGATCCATCTATGAGTAGTTATATGATGTCTAAAAAGACATTAGAGATAAATGCATCTCATTCAATAATGAGTGAATTAAAAAAGAAAGCAGATAAAGATAAGAGTGATAAAACTGTTAAAGATTTAATTTGGTTATTATATGAAACAGCCTTATTGACTTCAGGATTTAGTTTAGATGATCCAACTCATTTTGCAAACAGAATTCATAAGATGATTAAATTAGGATTATCAATAGATGATACAACAATTGAAGAAGAAGATGAAAAATTGCCAAGTTTAGAAAAGAAGGGTGAAACTATCAATACTGATGCTACAAAATCAAAAATGGAAGAAGTTGATTGATTTTTATATATATAATTTAATAATAATATATATATATACAAATTTATTAATCAATTCATCCAAATAATTTAAGATAGATATTCAGCTATTAATTCTCTATATTAATACAATGCTTATTAATTACATTTAGTTTTTTTTAATGTTTGATAGATTTAACAACAAAAATTGAGTTTAATTATTATTAAAAGCTGTTCTCTAATTGAGATTTAAGAAAATGATTTATCAAAATGCCAAGGATTAATGATTTAAATGTAATATTGTTATTAATTGATAGTCAAATTAAGTATCATGCAAGGTATTTTCATCTATGGAAAAATTAGTCGTTTTATCATTGTTTATTATTGTTACTATTTTTTTGTATTGATTATTTTTTAAGATTGATCTATGTCTGATTCTTCATCCAAACATTCATGTTATTTAATTTACTCTTATTGTATTTATTATTGTTATTATTATATTTATTTAGCCAAAAGTCTTTATTCATAGTGTAATATAGTCCCTCTTTCAATATCTTTAACTAAATCAAATAACATGATTATTGTTCTTATTATTCTTATTACATAGACTAAGCAGTATCTTTAATATGATTCTGTTGTGTTTATGTAATCTGTCAATGATAACAAATCAATCACTAGTAGTATTATTTAATACAAATTAAAAGATGATTTGAGTTTAGTCACTTTACGATATAAAGTTGACAATAAAAATGGAATCAGGCAAAATCTGAAAACCTATTGTAAACTCATTACCTACTTTTGTATATCTTCCAAATTCATAATTATAAAGCAAGTTCTTTTCTACTCTATAGGCAAACTTAAGAACTCTTCCACTCATTTTTATCTCCTCTTTACCAACCTTTATAAATACACATAATCCAACAGACAATGCAAACTCGATTATTTAAAAAATTAACCCAAACATTAATTAATATATTATTATTTCTATCATTATTTAATGTTCAATGACTATTCATACTCCTTTAATTAATCCCTAAACCCTTTATTAGGATATACAATATCTCGCATTTCAGTCACAAAATTTAAACTTTCTTAATAACTTTTCTTCTAACTCCACATAATGTATGCTATTATAATTGTAGCACTTCTTGAAATTCCTGCCATACAATGTACTAAAACATTACCTTTCTATTTTAGTATTAAATTTTTGTTACTTTTAAGTTGTCTTAAATAAATTTATTTGTTTTTTCAAAGTATTTATATATATCTTCGTAATCATCATCATCAATATTGATAACTAGATGATTATCTAATTATATATCGTCAAATTCGGAGAATTCGCAAATAGTAATTGCTGCCTTAAAATTTAAATGATTTTTACTTTAATTTAGTATTATTTATATGATTTCATCAATGAACTTATGTTTCCTAAATATAAAGCTCCATTAGTTTGTGTAGGTGCTAAAATTAAAGAAGTTGATTCAGGTATGAAAGGTATTAGTTAAGATAATTACATATAATTATTAATAAAAGATTTAAATAAAAAATCAAATTTAATTGAAAGAAATGGCAGCTAATAAATTTTGGAAAAAGAAAGAAGTATAAATGATTATCTAAGTGAAAGTTATCAAGCTTAGAATAATAAGTAGGATCAGCATTAATATAAATTGAAACAACAATAAGTGAAGTTAAAAATCTGAAAGTATCATCAGTAGTGGATTATACTTCAAAAATAAATGCAAAGAAGTAGGTCTATTTGGTATTAATTCCATATCCATGTTTAAGCATTTATAATAGAATCAGGTATAGATTAACATTAATAATAGCTCAAAATTAATACCAGAATTAGAAAAGAGAGTCAAGGCAACAATATTAGTAGCTGCTAAAAGAACAATTGAAAGTAAATGGGTGAAGAGTCATAGATCTTAAACTAGACCAAACTCAAGAACACTTACTTCTGTATATGATGGATTACTTGAAGATTTAATAAGTCCATCAGTTATTCTTGGAAGAAGAACAAGGGTTAGAGTTGATGGCACTAAATTTTATAGAATGTAAGTCATTATTAAATTCAATATTAAGATTCCTTGATGAAAGTGATCAAAAAGAATTAGAAAATAGACTTGATTCAATTAAAGATGTTTACAAAGTATTAACAACTAGAGATTTGGAATTCGAATTCAGAAGAGATGATACATTTTATCAAAAAAGAGGAGCAAAGAAGGTAGCCAAAAAATGAACATGATTATCATTAGTATAGTAAAATATATATTGTATATCCAAGATAACGTATAAATTCTGTATTTATATTATACATATATTATTAATCTTATTATATTATTTAATGTCTCACTATTACTTTATATCAAACTTTTCTAATTCTCCAATAAATTGATTATAAAAATTTATTTATTGTGGAACAGCTCTAGCACTAACTATAGGCAATTCATATGTTATCAATAAATACACTCTTTTACCATTATGCTTTTTGCATATCCCCTAAATAATAATTAACTTATATAAATTACTCTTGCTAATGAAATTCCTTCTCCAACATCTGCATCACCTCTTCTTCCATAAACCAGAGGTGGATGCCATCTATGAACTTCATAATGTTCTCCTAATAATACAAATCCTGCTCCTATTGTGTTATCTCTTACGTCATATGCCTTCAAGTATGGAGCTAACTCTTCTTTTGAAGCTGCGCAATTTTTATGAGTTATCACATTCAAATCTTCATCAAATATTATTGCTTTAGCCCACTACATTATTTATTATAACTTATTTACTTCATCTTACTTTTTCAATTCTGCCAACAATTATGCAGCATCTAATCCTTAATCCATAATTAATTTAAAATAAATATTATATTTAAATTTATTATATTATTATTATCCAAAACTCTTTATTCTCACAAACCAAAATTATATTCATTTATTACTATATTAAAATATTATTATTCAATACAATTCCGAATTATTATACTAATTCAAATTTCTTTTTTCCTTTTTTTAAAAAAATATTATTATTTTTATTTCTCTGTCATCAAAATATCAAATTTATAAACAATCCACATATGAAGATAATATTTTATAAATTAATATATTCCTTAAATAAAGATAGATTCATTTATAATTTAAATTTATGAATTTCAATTGTTTTCTAATTTGTCATTATTTTCCTGCTTACACTTTTATAATAAATTACTAACTGTGACATCTAGAGAAGCTATAAGTTTCTAATTAATTTCATTCTGTTGATCCTATAAAATTTGTAATATTGCATCTTAAGAAATTCCTTATTATTTTATCTGCTGATCATTACATAATGTAATTTCCCCTTAAAATTCTTTTTATTCAAAGTTGTTAAATTTTTCAAATAAAATTCGTTAATTTTCATTAAAAATTATGTGCTTCAATTTTTCAACATCTTATAAGCTTTTTAAGATATTAAAAATATTTAATTAATTTTTAACTTTGTTATGGGCACGCCTAAATTAAAGAATATTTTCATCATCCTAAAAAATCATAAAAAACTTTACTTTGGAGACTATGCATCTTAATGCTTAAAATGCATTTATGTATCCGAACTTATATTTTTTATTTTTTCGGAAAATGGCCTTTTGAATATATTAGACATATGTTTATAGAATAGTTTTATATGATTTATCCTTAGAACCTTATTGTTTAGAAAAGTTATCTCTTATTGATAAAGTCTTGTTAGTTATAATTTAATCTTAACCAATCTATACTTATTATTCTAATTATCTCTACAAAGGAGAGCCTAATTTTTCATTTTTAATTAAAGAGGAATCTTTTTGTTGACGATTATCCTCATTTTGTTATTTTCCTTGAAATTCATATAATTAATTAATAAGATCAAGAAGAAGACTAATTTTATTAATAGGTTTAGAAATAATATAAAAGAGACTAAACAAAACTTACCATAAACCTCCTAATTCTGCTAAAATTTCTTATACTTTTGGATATGTCCTATAGTCAACCAATTCAGTTGTGTCTAATCTAATGACGACATTCATGATTAAATCACTTTAACTTAAATCTAGCATTTCTGTATGTCTACCATATCTCAAAGTTTTTTCATATTTTAAATTAGTTTATATTAAACCAATATCTGTAATGGTAGTTAAAGGTTCTAAGTATATTGAAATCTCCTTATATATATTACTTGATATAGTTGTAAAGAGATCTTACCCTTTTGGATTATATGGTGAATTAGGATTTTTTAAATTGGTGGTCTAAGATGAAATTTAAAATGAAAAATAGTTCTGCATTAATGCTTACTCAATTTCTTTTTTATTTTTACAAGTCATATTTTTTTAAGTTTTTTCATTACAGGTATTGAATTACATGATAATGTATTCAAATTTTGGAGCATCAAAAGTACCTTCAATTTATATACTCGGAATTTAATTCCAATCAATACAATAATTAGTTGGTAAATCTAAATGTGAAAAATATTCTTTTAGTTCGTTTTATTTAATTAATTCCTCATTGCATTTGACTAAGGGTAACTCTTACTTCTCATAAACATCCATTTTTTATCCATTTTTTGTTGTAACAATCTTTTTGACAACATATGCATTTACGACATAAATTGATTCATCAATATATGTATTAAAGGTAGAGTTTTAAAAGGCAAAGGTCATAGTAAAATTAAAAGGAGTCAGACTATATTATTCAGGTTAAGAATGATAAATTTCTGAACTAAGAGATGAGGGATTGCTCCTATCAAAGAGTGTAACTAGTTTTTAATAAAGAAGATTTGAGAATAATGCTAACAATAAGACTGTTAGAATAGTCCCAAATAGTGTTTAGTGATATTCTTTTTTATCAACTAGTAATTACAAAGGTTAGGCAAACAAATCAAACTTTTTTATTCCTCTTAAGAAGAAGACCTTACTATTTCTTTGCATTAATTTTGAATTATATTATGAAAATATTAAATAATTCTTGGAGAAGAACTTAAATCATAATATCATTTAATAATTCAATTATCTTAAAATATTGATAATATCATATGAGTATTATTTATATAAAACTATACGAAATAATATTAATTATATAATCACTACTATAATAACATATTATACATAACATTTAAAATTATAATGCTAATTACCCTTTTTTTAAATCCAACTCTTAACTTATTATTGAAAAATGTATTTATTAAATTTAAACTGAAAATATTTATTACTTTTAATTTTTCAAGTTAAAAGTTTTAGGCATATCTATTAAATTTGATGTTTATAAAACGACTGATATAAATGGTTTTTATTATTTTAAATAATTATTTATCTGGATTTCATTCAAATGGAAAGAAAAATAATTGAATTTGTATAGGAATGTCAAACTAATATTGGAAATTATTAAGATTTAACTTAAATGGAGGAGATTGTTAATTAACTTATTTCAATAGTTTGTACAAATTATTATTATATTTTTAAGATTTTCTTATTGAGTAAGGCTAACAAACCTTTGAAGAAGAAAAATTAAAATATTAAACTTTAAATCAAGACTTTTCTAATTTATAGACATTATATTAATAAGCTTTATAGGAAATATAGATACTCAAAGCAAACCACAATTAAGAACTTGAAGAATTTTCTGAGTATCATGATATAATGATTAAGAAGGAATATATTATAGAATAAGAAAAAGATGAATAACTAAATAACATGAAATCAAGTACAAATGAAATGATGAAGTCGTTAAGATTTCAATAATAATAATTAGAAAATGTAAAACAGTAAAACGAAGATCAGTAAATGGAGATTTATGAATTACGAAAATTATTGTAACAAAAGTAAGTAAACACTGAACCTGCCTTTGATTAGTAACAGTCTAAAATCTAAACCTGTGAAAGTATTAAGGAACAAAAAGAGACTTCCCCTTCTTATATAAGTGTTAAATAAAAAAACTAAGAAAGCTGCTCAAGTATAGAATTAAATACGCAATCTAATTAAAAAGAAAATATATAAAAAGAACTTTGTTCTTAAACTTTTATACGTGAAAAAAGTCTTAAGGAATCTGGTCTTCACCTTAAATATACTCATTGTCATTCTAAAAATTAAAGCATAAATTGGGTCAAATTAGCTACTATTGCTTAAACTTAGTAATCTTTATCATCTAAAAGTGATGATGAAGAATCTAATTGCAGAAAATCTTAAAGAAGATTATCTAAAGATTTCAGTACTGAATGTGATCCAATATTTGTTAATACTAGAAACCCATATAAAGATTTTTTTACATTGGTATGTATTTTAGTTAAACCTTAGATTTGCTAATCAGTTAAATTAAATCTAAATAAAACAAAATATTATGTTATAAATGTAGATATGCTCTATGAAAAATTTCAGATAGAAGGTGTTCCATTTAATAAATGGTACAAAAAAGTAGAAAAGTATATTTTAGAATAAATGTAGTGACTAAACTAAAAATTTTGCATTATTATATATTATTATTAAAAAAATCCCATTATTTAATATTCATTTTGGCTATTAATTTTTATCTTCCTCTATAATTTCTTCATCAAAAATAGATGAAAATAGATAATTTTCATATTATTTGAAATATCCAAAATTTTCTTTTACTGAAACAGCCTAAATAATCTAATTTTTATTACTAAATCTTGTGATTGTAATACATTGAATAAGAAATTTTTGACATAAATTTTTAGATTAAATTCTTAATCTATAAAGTTATCATCAAACCAAAACTAATACTAAAATAATAATAAATAATTGAAATACTTCTATCCAAAAATCCCTCTAATCATCAGGTTCTACAGATTAAATATCATTGACTAATTGTTAAATTTCTTCTTATGTTGGGACTCTGCATTCATATAAAATGATAGTAATGAGTAAAGTTTGATAACTAAATCGAACATTTGGATAACAGCCTAAATGAGCAATTTTATTGATATTTAATTTAAATAAGGATAAGAAATTAGTTCTTCTTTTTTAAAAAGATTCATAAATATCTAAAGGAATCCAAACTGAATCACTAAGCGATTTAATTTCTTCATAAAATTAAATAGCCTATCTCCACTTATGAGATTCAGGAATTAAATGTTGTTACATATAAACCATTTTGAAGGCTTCTGAAATAGGACTGGGCTCAGGAATTGTTAGTATAGCTGTTTATCTATTTTCAATTTATTATTTTAAATAATTGATTGATTCAAAACAAAAATCGTTTTCACTTATAAATTAATAATTATAATTACTTTTTAATTCCACAAATAATCCAATCATCTATTCTTGAATAGAGAATATCTTCCATCAATAACATTTCAGTCATTTTGCTATAAGCCACACTTCTTATAATTTAACCTCTTTTGTATGCAATTTCTTTTTATATTTTAATTATTAATGATTCTTCTCCTTAAGTGATTTTATCGAGACAATCATTATAGTATGAAATAAGTACTTCCAATTAAGGAAATTTATAACCCTCTATTAATTATGATTATGGTGGCTCAAGTATAAAATGTTCGCTCCAAGGTTTTCCTAATAATTAGATTTCTGTTAATAGATTGGTTTCAGTTTGTAAAAGCATAAGTACATGTTACATAAATTATTATATTTAAATAGCAACAAATCTTTCCTTCTTTAATTTTTTAACAAAATCTAAAGCTTAATTCTTTTTATGATTTAGTATATCCCACAATTATTCATAAGTTTTTTATAAATGATCTTTTAACTATTACTTAGCATTTTTTTATTTGGATAAATCATCATTTTCTTATAAGAATTTATTATAGTTTAATTAAAATTCATGCATTATTTTTAGTTTGTTATCTGGACTCTCAAAGAATTCAATAAATGTTTTTTGTGTTTATAAAAATATTTATTAACATTTTTTTCTTTAATGACTCATTCTTCTAATATAAATTGTACTTTCTCTAATATAAGTATTAGAAATTTCATCCCATTATTTTAAAATTCCTTTTAATTAATCTTAATTTAAAAATTCACTTTAAGCATCTTTTTACCTTGATGCTAATTGAGATCTACCTCTCTCAGTTGATTATTTAGCATCAAGAAGACTTTATTTTTCTTATAATTGTTATGCTTATTATTCTGTATTTTATTCTTCTACTTTTTCCAAATCTTGATTTTCTGATATTTATATTTATTATTATTATTCTTATTATTATTCTTATAATAATTCTTAAGCTAATATTTCTTCAGTAATTTGATTTAAATATTCACAATTATGAGTAAGTACTTTATTAATCAAATTATCTATTTATTTTGCAACTTCAAAACCTTTACCTTAAACCTTAATATGATGCAATAATTTAAAATCTTCTTCAAATCCAAATTATTCGCACCATTCTTAAAGTTTACTCAAATTTTCATTAAATTATTAAAATTCTTTTTATAATTTTCTAATATTAAATATAAATTTACTCTTCAGTTTCAGTTTCAATCTTTAAGAGTTTATCAGGTTTAATCTCAGGAGGAGGTGGATTCTCTTCTAAATTGTACATTATTTCAGTAAGTGGATCAATCCTTCTATTTTACATTCTTTAAATTCTTTATTCATAAGGAGTATCTAGATTAATAATTAAATCTATTCCTGATTACTGAATTTTATTAGATTCTTCTTAAGTTGGAATGTCTAATAATTCTTAGAATTTTTATTTTTTTTCTTCTGCAATTTAATTCAATCTTTCATCATAAGGAATGAATCCAGTTAATTATTCTTCAAGCATTTTAGCCTAGTTATAATTTTCTGGAAAACCAATTAAAACCCAACCTTTAGTATAATAGAACTATTTTGAATTTATATATTCTTTAATTAAATCTTCTTAAGTTGGACCAGTACTTTATGGTACATCTTTTTTACCTGGTTTTTTTGAGGTCTTTTTAACTTCTTCTACAATAGGTTGTTAATCTTTTTTTAATTAAATTTCTTTGGCTTCTTTCATTTCTTATGCAACCTAAAGAGGAGTTCTTTAACCAAATGTTTGATTCAATTTAATTAAGATTCCCTTCAAGAGTAATTCATCTGGTATGATTGAATCTTTATATTCATTAATTTATAATCCATATTCTTTTAATTCTGGATTTTCTATAACAGGTACTTCAATAACTTTTTTTGTATCTTTCTTTTTCTTAGGATCTTCTATTGGAGGAAATGCAAGCTTTAATGATTCTTTTATAATAGATTCTATATCGATAATTTCCAATCCATATTTTTAATTTAAATATTTTGCAGTAGTTTTACGACCACTAAATTTACCTCCAATTAATGATATTTTAAGAGGTAAATAATAATTGATACCTTCTTTTAATGGTTACATCGGATATAATTCATCAGTAATTTCAAATAGAAATTCAGCTAATGATATATTTGCCATTATTTAACTATCATTTTAAGTAGATTTCCAATCTTTAACTGCATGATAATATTCAACAAAATCTTAAGTAATTGCAGCAGCTATATTATCATGAAGTGGTTTTATCTGTGATAATTCATTTTACCATTCTTCAATAAATTTATTCCATATTTTTTTATCTAATGTTAAAGGTTTTCCTTTTTATTCAACATTCTCATTCATTTTTAAATAACATTTATCAGCTAAATCTAAGATTGTCAATATTAATGGTTGCATTTATTATATATGTTTTTATCTTTTTTATACTTTTCTATTATAATTTTATTCCATATATTAAACTTAAAGTATTCTCCACTCTTTTTATCTTTATAATCTAACATCTTATTCTCTTGCTTTAGCTTCTTTTCTTAATTATTCAAAAAACATTTCTTTTTATTCTTCCAATACTTCACACATCAATATCCTTTCATTAAATTATAGTTTTCCTCTTAATTTTTCTTTTTATCTTAAAGCAGCCTCTTGATTTGCAATTTTTCCATATTCTGAAAATTTATCAACTAATTCATCCAATCTTTTTTTAGCCTCTACTAATTCTTATTATTTTAATTATTCCACTAACATTTTATTTCTTCTTTTTTATCTTGCTTTTCTAGCTTCTTCTGTTTTATGTGTTCTCTCTCTTATTTTCATCATAGTTGCTACTGCAGAAAACTTAGCCTTTTCAGGTACTGGTTTTTTAGAAGGATCTTTTTCTATTTCTATTCCTTATCTAATACATGTTTACAAAAACAAATAAATATTATTATCCATAGCTTTTTAATCCTCTTTTTTCTTTTAATTTATTTCTGCCATCATTCTACCTGTCATCATATCATTTAATTTTTTCTCTTTATCAATTCTATTATGTTTAACTGTTTCGGTATATTTCCAAAACTCATATATCTTTTTATCTTATTCTTTTATAAATTCATGATTTGCTCTTATCTTTTCTAATTCATTATCTCTAAGTGACATCAACCATTATTTCTCCTTTTCCTCATCTTTTTACTTTAATCTCACTGCTTGAATCTCATGTATAAGTTTCTCATCTCGAAATCTATGTAAATTATCTTCAATAGACTTTAATTTCTTTGGCAATGAGTTTATAAACTTCTCTTCATAACTAAAAATTGATATAACAGTTTCATTATTTACTTATTCACCAATGAATGTACTTGTTTTTTATCTGTTACTTTCAATGTTTTTGTCAATTCATTTAAAACATCTTTTGTCTCTTTACGAGCAATTGTAAGTAATGAATTAACAGCTATTGGTTTACTATACTATTTTATTGCTTTCAAATATTCTTCTATTTATGATTAACCTTTTTCAACCTTAGGTTCAATTCCTACTAATTTTATTATGTGCTTTTTAACTATCTTCATATTCTTTTAAGTTGAATATTCATCAAATTTATTTGTTAAGATTTTCTTAATTGGATTTCCTGTTTTATAGAGAACTTCTTAAAAATTAAACCAATTCTAAAATTGTTTCTCAATGTCTAGAATAGCAGGTTAAAGTTTGATTTCCTTATTTAACCATCTTATTAATTCAGGATCTCCGTAGTTCGATTTCATTAATTGTTTAATAAATTAAATATATCGTTCATATATTATTATTATTTCCTTATTTCATTTCATATGTTATTATTAATTCTTATATTTAAATTTATGTTATTACTATAAAATCTCAAGTATTTTTAATAAATGAAATAATTATGATAAACTCATTTATCAGAACATTTCATCATCACATTTCTAAGAGTCATTAAATCCAACATCTAAAATCATACCCTAATCACATTAAGTATCACAACTTTCACAATTAAAATCAGTATAAAAATTTTCATCATCACTATATGGGTATGGATTATTAATGAGTGGATTGTCTAGTAATGGATTACTCATGAGTGGATTATTATTATTCATTGGATTATTAATGAGTGGATTATTATTGACTGCATTTTCTACTATGTTTTAATTTTCTGATTTATTAAAAAGAGCATTTAACTATATACAAATATTATTTACTTAATCAATTGCCCTTATTATTTTTGGAACTGGAAAATTCAAATAAAATTAATAATCTTTATATTTATTCAATTTTCCAAGAATGTTTTCAATAAGTGATTTATTAGAAGAAAAGTAATTTTAAGCAACTTTGAAATTATGAATAATTTCTGCTATCCAAGATGCCAAACAATAAGCAAAATTTTTATCATTTTAAAATTATTTACTTATTGCATCTAGAATAGATTTTCCCTTAGAAAAAGTAACTAATTTTGTTTAAGTCTCCATTAACACCTAAAATAATAATAAGTTTAAATACTTAAAATCTCATTTCTCCAAAAGCATCTGATATTTTAAGTATGCTTTCTATTATATGAAATATAGGATCTATTTGATGCCATGCCATATTCCAATCTAATAATATTTAAATTAATTATTCAATAATAATTTCACTTGTTTGGATATCATCAAAACAAAGATGTTTTGTCATATCTACAACAATTGGATTCAACTAAACCATAGGAGCAAAAATAATCTTATAATCTCCCAAATCTCTAATATCTGTAAGCAAATGATTATCAAGTTTTACATGTTGATTATAATTTTAAAATAAATATGTAGGTGTTTTCTCATTTGTTAATTTCATTCCATCAGTAAATGAACCTTAAATAGTTTTACATATTAATTCACACATTGCTGAACATGTGCCTTCTAATCCTTTATCATTAAGTTTACTAATATTCATACAATTTCCATAAACCTAATTTTCTAAAATAGTCTCTTTGTAGAGTTTATATATCATTTGTAAATATCCCTTCTTTTATAAATGATCTATAATAAAAGATGAAGTAGAGATTGAGAATTTAAGAATTTAGAAGAATTCTGAAGCTCTTCTCATAGATTTCTTACATGTTGGTAATAAATTATCAATGAAAAAGGATAGGAATTACATTATTGTTGAATTTTCTTAATTAAATGAATGATGTTATTATTCTTCTTCATAATTAACAACACATTAAATAGCTTAAATTAACAATTTACTAAAAGCATGTTTAACATCTTATTATGTTGATTCAATAATAGTATTAATTAGTAAATTGAGATTGTTTTAGAGATGAGTTAAAAACCAAAATGATGCTGAAACAACCTTATCATATAAAGCACATAAGACATTTACAGAATTAACAAATTCTGATTAATCTTTATTCTTTATTAAAGATTCCAAAGAGAACAGTGTAAATAATTTCACCACTTTTAAAGATGGAGATTCTTAGTTAGAAATTACATCCTATTATGATATATTTTAAGATTCTATTTTCTCTTAATGATCTTCAAAATTAAATTAACAAACAAATTCTCTAACAAATGCTTAATAATCAGATGAATAAAATAATTGATTCTTTAAATATACAATATTCTCTTATATAATATTATTTTACAAGCATTTTTCATTTGTACCCATTATTTAAATATCTTATTTATCAATCTTCTCATAAAATAACAAGTAAGCATTTTTTGATTTATTTGAATCCCAATCAAAACTGTTATAATATTCATTATTACCACCAAAACATTCATATTTTAAATTTTCAAATTTAAATGGACTCACAAATCTATCATCAAATTCAAACCATTTATTTTCTTAAGATTTTATAAATGAATAATAATGTCCACTATCTGCACTTCCAGTATGAATTAGAACTCCAACTAATTTATATATGTAATCTGTATAATCATCCAATTATAGATTATTAATCAAATGATCCTTTGTCCATTTAAACATATTTATTTCTGATGGAAATTCAAAATAATCATTTACTTTCAATTTCAACATTCTATTATAATCAAATTCAAATCTTTTTAAAGTAAATATAAATGTATTAGGTAATTTTTTAAAATAACATCTTTTTTCTGCATCAATTCTTCTATTAATTGATTCACAAAAGTATTTGTTTTCTCCATCTAAAACATCTGCTTTAATAAATAAATCTAATGCTTCTTCTAAATTTTTTTTATTTTTTATTTCAATAGTAACAGTTAAAAATACTTCATCAGTTTCCCTTTAAAATTGTATATCTTATTCTAATGATCTAATCTCATGCCCCAATGTTCCACCCATTATTTAATTTATTAAATCTTATTACTAAGTTCCTTTTTAATCTTTTTCTAATTTATCAGTTAATAAATTGAAAAATTCATTAACATCCTATTAAACAGAACAATTTATAGGCAAACCATCATAACCTTGTAAAGTTCTAATAAATTAAATTGGATTAATAAATGATCTCACACTATCTTATAATTGTATAAATACTAATTATAATTAATATAATGTATGATCTAAAAGTTTATTTTTATAAGATTCAGATTTTATTTAATCAACATCATCATAAATAATTGTTTCATTATTTTCTGTGATTGATATTTAACTATTTAATATACCATGTCTAAATGCTTTATTCATAAATAATTATTATAATAAAGAATTTATATAACAAGTAGCACCTAAATTTTTAAGTCCAACAAATCCATAATGTCCTTTTACACCTGTATCAAAATCTTAATCAGGTTATTCAATTCTTCCATGAGTATTTGAAATTGGATCAAGTAAAAGTAAGAAATTTTTTTCACAATTTTTGCTTGCCTCAATTAATAAATGAAATGCTCTTTTTCTTGTAAGTTTTCTTTTAAATTTTGGATATTTTGCATAATCATCATTTAAATGAAATAAAAATTCATAAACTTATCTTATTAATTCATTTGATAAAGATTCCTTTGTTTATGGACATATTTCAATAATTGCAGTCAATAAAATTAAATATCCTTAAATAACTTTATCTTCATTATCTTCAAATCTCTCTTCAATTATTGGTCTATCAATTATCTTTTAAATTATTTATTATGACAAATCTTAAAAGTCAAAATTTTATGTTAATATATCATAATTTGTTCTCTATAAAATTACTGCTGTCAATATAAATATATCTTCAAATTATGTTTATGGATTTACTATTTAAGGTATTAATTCTTTTAATAAATAGAATCCAAAATCCTTTTGAACATTTTTAGAAGGTATTTTACATATTTAAATTAATGAATAAGTTAAGATTCTTCGACATTCTTAAATCTAAGATTATGATAATACTTAGATGACTGATAAAGGAAAATTCTCAGTTTCATATATTGTTTAAACAAGTGTTGGATTTTAATAAAGAATTAATAAAATAGTTTAGAAAATCTATTCAAATCCTAAATCAATTTTATTAATTAATGAATTTAATAGATCATCATATGGAAAATCTAAAAATTCTTAAAATAACTGATTCTCTTTAAATTAAAGGATTAACATATGTCTTTCATCAAAGTTATCTTAAACTTATTATAATTATTTTGATATTGATATTAAATGTTCTTCTATTGGAGGAGTCAATGGAGGAATAGTTGAAACATTATTAAATTTAGGAGTTGATACTCCACTAGACTATGAATTTGATGCAGTTTCATATTTTAATTTTGATTTATCAGAATCACTATTTTCATTATAAAAAGAAATTGATGGTAATCTATCTTCAAATTATTTATATTAATTTCTAACTGTCTCTTTTAAATTTATTATTCTACTACAAAATTCATCATTTTTTTCTACTTTTGATAATACATAAGCTGTAAAATATATTAAAAATATTTCTAAAGCTAATTATATCGTATTAGGATCAACATTTGGCATGAAAAATAATTATTATATATGAATTAATCCACCTTAAATTAAAAAGTTCTCTCTACATTATTTTCGTTTTCTGAGTTCATCTTAATCATCAATAAAATCACAATCCAACAATTCTTTTAATATCTATAGATTGTAATATAATTTATATTTATTTTGTTAATCTAATAAATTTTCCCACTCTGATGTTTATTGACATTTATCAATTAATTCATATATCTCTCTATTTCTAGGAATCATTGATAAAATCTACCAAACTTTTGAATTCAAATTCTCATTATTTAAATTTAAAACATCAAATAATTTTTAAATATAATTATTATTTTCTGAAATGAAAGTAGCAACACTAAATTTTTAAATTAATTAAATGTTATTCTCATTCTAAATAACCTTTTAAAATTAACCTTATGGCTATTAAGGATTAGATATCTAATTTTCAATCAACTATGTTTATAATTACCTATTTTATTTTTCTTATAGAGGGCTAACTTATCTTATTTATTTTTCTTAAAATTTTTAAAAATGAAATTCTCTATTGTCTATTAATTCCATAACTGTCATTTCAAAATTCCAATTATTTTCATTTAAAAAATATTCTACAAATTCTTTATTAAATTCATTAGTAATTTCAATAACACTTTATATCGTTTCTTATTAATTACTATTTAATTAATTATTAACTGGAATCCCAAGAGGAATTGGTTCATTAACACAAAGAGGTATAACTTTGTTTAATTTAGGATGATTAAAAACTTCTTTTAATTCATCAACATCTCCTTAACATATAGCTAAAGGTTTTGAATCTTCAACTTTTTAATTTTCATCCTATTAAGGTCTCATCAAAACTTAAAAAGTTGGTTTTTTATCAAATTTATAATCTTTCAAACTTTTTGAATTATCTAACCAATTTCCTCTATAAACAACATCTATTTCATTCCTTTTTACTTAAGGATTTATTTTTTATCCAATTATTTACTTAACATATATTATTTTCATATTTTCAGGTACAGATATTTCTTATCTTTTTGGATGCTATGCATTTTTACATCGATTATCAATAATAATTAAAATATTTTAATCAATTTATTCTCCCTTTTCAAAACTATCCTGTTTTAAATATTTCATCCCTTCAACTTCTTCTAACAACTTTATACATAAGTCTAAACATTTTTCTGTTGTATTATTCTAAACATTATCAAATATATGTTCAATATAATTTTATTTTAATTTATTCATTATTGATTGATTTATTGATTTGAAACATGTTATTTATAATAAAAATTATTAAGCTTTTTATACTATTTCTTTATTATTGCTACAAAAAAATACTTTCCATAAAATCTCTAAACCTACTATGTCTGCATCTTATATTATATATGAATCCATGACATCATTCTTAAGAATTTTATGTTGAATATTAAAATAAAGAATTAAATTCTATAGACATTAAAATATTGGTACTGTATATGAATTACAATCAATTTTTATTATATGATCAAAAAATAACATTTATAATGCATCTAATGATATTATATTTTTATTTGAACTAAAAATCCATCTAAAAAATAAATCCTATTCTTATACAGTAAAAGCATTCTTTACCAAAACCTACCAAATTATCTATAAATGATGTGATTCTATTTTATTATCAGTCAATAAATATAAAGATTAGTAAAATTTTAACAATTATTCAATTACTTCAGTATACCTATCCTTGTTTTATTCATGTACTCTCTTTTTAACTTTTGCAATTACAGCCAATAAAGACATTTTAAAATTATATTTCTACTCTAAATATTTTATTAATTCTGATTAAGAATTATAATTGTCAATTGGATATTAGGATTAAATAATCTTTGAAATCATCTAAATATGATTTTCAGTTTTAGAATCATTTTCAAATAATTTTTAAAATGCTTAATTTAAATACTTTATTCTTAAAAATCTAAATTACAAGCAAATTAAATCCATAGCTATTTTAAATGCTTATTATCCTAAATCAATATTAGAATTTGAATTAGATACATTTAATAAATATTCCACTATTCTTCCTCTTATACCCTCTCCTTCTTCATAATTTGTATCAATACTATCATCATTTTATATATTTCTCTTCTTTATTTCAAATTATTATTATTATTATTATAATTTTCTATCTTAATTTCTATTTATCAAATATTAATTCTCTGATTATTATTATTCTTCATTGTAAACTTTTATTGTTAATTTTTCTGAATTTTTATTTGAATTTTAAATAGATTCCTATTCAATTTCTAATTCTGTTAAAATAGTATCTTTTGTTTCTTTCTTTTATTAAAAATATTTTTTATCAAAATTTTGATTTCTACCCAAACAATTAATAAAATTCAAAATATTAGAATCTACTTTTTATTCTTATATTTCTTGTAAAACTACCTCCATATCAGATTCAGACATTATTTCAGCAATATCATTTAATAATTTAAAAAGAAAATTACTCCAACTTTCATGTTTACCCTTCCCCATTTTCAAAATCTAAATAATATCACTTGTTTATAATTAATTATTTCTATATAAAAAACGAATTATTTAACTTGAACGTTTTATCAATTCAAAATGAGCTTTCTCTCCAAATAATTCTTAAAATATTTTATTTTTCACTAAAAAATTTATTAAAATATCTTTCAATATATTATCATCATTCTTCTAAACAATATCATAATTAACATAAAAGTTCATATAGTTTAATGAATTAATCTTTTCACTAATCTATTGTAATCCTATAATATAATAAAATTTATACCAAATATACGTTTCTCAAAGGTAGAACATTTAAAATATTGTAAGTAAATACTCAATTCTTATTATACAATTATTTCTTTCATTTCACTAAAAGTGTAAAATGGTAAAAGGGCTTTTTCAAGTGTCTCATTCAACTTCTTAACTTATTCCTTTGTAGATAATTTAATATCATCTTCATTGATTTTCAAATGTAATACTTTTAATTATTCTTTTAATCCTTAAAAATAGTTAATAAATTTCTATTTATCTACAAAAATACTAAAATAATTGAAAATATCTAAAATGTCTAAGTAAGCAATGTAAAAATTATTAATTCCATCAATCAATAAAGCAAAACCACCATTTTAATAAAAATAATGCATTTAAATTCTCAAAAAAGGTGATAAATGAATGCTTGATTTACTTATATGAAAATCTTCCAAAATTTCACCTTTTAAAGGATAATAACAATAAAAGTTATTTTCATCTTTTCTTTAAATATCTTTATATTCACTTTACAAATTCACAGAATCACGTTCAAAATAAAAGTTTCCCAATGCTTATTTAAATTAACCTTCATTAAAATGAGAATCAAAAAATTTGACTTCAGGAAAAACAAAGATTCTCTTAAATAAAGCAAGACTTATAGATTAATATTGCTTCCAAATATTCATACCTAATTTTTATAACATTAATAAAATTTCATTAAAGTAACATGAAACTTTTAATTATTTTTGATCTGTAAATAATTTATTTAAAAAATAATCCATAATTGGAAAGACTCTTTTATTAAAATATGAGATTAAATCAGGTTAAACATTAACTTTATTTAGTAGAATAGCTTTAATTTCTATTTCTAACTCTAGTAGAATAGGCATCCATCTTGGAAATATACCTATTAATAATTTAAATTATACTATTTTATAGTTCATTAATATCTGATTAATAATCTTTATCATTAATATTGAGAAAGACACCAGTCTATTCTAATTCTATTATCCTATCTAAATTATAAGTAATATCATTATCATTCATAGATTAAAAGGAGTGAGGATTTGGATCAAATTGTTCTTGATTTGAAGTCTATATAATTTACATTTCACGAGACTTCATTTTATTATTATCATCGCTTTAATTTATTTAAACCATTTCAATGTTCTTTATTATAAAAATATTATTGGCATAATTAAATTAATTATAAGAAAAAAAGAGAATTATATACAAAAGGCTTAACTTATTATAAGTATAAATTAAGTATTTTACATGAAAATTAATTATATATTTTTAGTTAGATTGGTGAAAGTTGATTTTAAGAGAAATACAAATAACTAAATAAAATCATAAATTAAACCAAGGATGTGTAATAACATCTTCAAGGTTAGGTCTTTTATATGGATTTAATTGCATCATTTAGGCAGCTATTTCTTAGGTTTCATTATTATTAATTAATTCCAATAAAATAACACCTAAACTATATACTTCCGTTGGATATGGAAGATAAGATTATCCATCTATAATTTCTGGAGCCACATAAGGTTTAGTTCCATAAAATTCAGCAAATTTCTATTTACCATTTGTAACAGCACCAAATGCAAAGTCAATAAGTATTGGTTAATTATTCTAAACCATCACATTATTAAGATTAAGATCTCTATGAACTACTCCTAATTCATGAACTTTTTAAACAGCTACATTATATTAATGGATGTTACTTTATAAAAGTTTGTGATAGAATTATTTAATAATTCTTTCACTATTTTTATCTAATGGTTGTGCATCAATATATTCTAAAATAAGGAAATAATTATATAAAGTTTTAGTTCTTCTTGTACTATTATCAATTGTTGGAAAGAATCCAAAACCGATTAATTAAACTACATTTTAGCAACCCTTTAATTTAGTTAGAATAGTTATCTCAGTGTCATATGTTTTCCTACATTCAGATTAAGATAGATTCTTAATTGATATTTTCTTTACGGCTACTTTTTTATTACTTTAAATGTGTCTATATAAATCAACACTATAATAAATAGAATTATATATTTACCTAGAAGAATATCCTGATCCAAGATTATTAATAAATTCAAAATCATCTAATGATGAGAGTTCTGGAAATAACATTATGAAGGTTAATTTTGTAAATTGTTATTATAATTATTTAAATTTTAAACATAAATTTCTATTTTTACTCAAATTTAGTGCGTAATAACATAAAATATCACCAATAATTCGTAATTAATAAGGTTTATCCTATTAATTCTAATTAAATTATTTAATAATAATATTAAATATTAAAATAATTATAATTCATGTTATTAAAAATGAGTAAGTGCTTAAGAAAATTAAAATATTTAATAATTCTTATTTGATTCTTATAAAAATTGATGATTATTAATGAATGTTTTTTAAATAATTGAAAATTGAATAGAAATTATTATATAGCAATAATTTTTAGATAATCTAACGATATAATATATTTGTATTAATAAAATTACTATAGAATATTAAAATGGATTCATAATAAGATGTTGAATGTGATTAATGTTAGACAGTACCAGAGACTTATGTAAAATTAGAATGCGATCATAAATTTTGTTTGATATGCTTAGCTTATAATTACTTATAAATTTAACAAGAGAAGCAGAATTTAGAAGAACTTGAAAGAGTAGCAGTATGTTTTAAATGCAATCATCTTACTAAACTAGATTAAGATACTGTTGAAGCTCTTCATATGGTCATTAAGGAAATCATAGTTCCGTTAATTGAATAAAATTAAATTAACCCAAAATCAAATAATGATAGTGAAGTTGTTGAAGTTATTGATGATTTACGTGATTTGGGTGTATAAAATGTTGGCTCTCAACATTAATCAAATCAAAAGAATTCATTGGCCAATGAAAGACTTTAATTGTATTTAGAAAGATTAGAAAAATGCTTTAAATCTAAGTTTGAAGCTATAAAAGATATTTAAGATTAGAAATATTAATTTCAATTAAAATTTAAGTAAACTAAGGATGAAATCAACAGTTAATATTAATAAGTAATTATTGTAAATTCATCATTTTAGTTTATCTTAAGTTTGGAATAAAAGAAAAACCAAACGTTTAATGATATAAATAGTTTAGAGATGATCTAATTATTAGAAATTTAAAAATAAGAAAAAGATCTTGAATAGTAAATACAATAAATGGCATAATTTCAAGAGGAAATTAATTCATTAATCTATTAGAATTTAAATAAGTCTTAAGAGGATATTAGTAAATTATTAATTGACATAGAAAAATCTTTAAATGTTCCATCTTCATCTCTTCAAATAGTAATAATATTATAATTATTAAAGAAATCTTCAATATTAGCTACATAAAGATAATTACTTAAATTATAAACAAATGCCTAATCTTAATTATGTGCATCTGTTCCTAATTTATTATCAGATTTTCCTCAATCAATTAGATAAAAAGAATTATTTATGAAGAATCCTAATTCAGATGAAAAACCTTTAGATTCCAAATTAAATGTTCATTTTGAAAAATAAGATAGATTAAGCAAATTTAGTCCTATTAAATCAGAAAAACTTAATGAATTATGGCCTAAAAATGATAAACCTCATCAGTCTTTAGAAAAAAATACTATAAGAGAGAGTAAAGATCTTCATGAATTTAAAGACTATAGAGAAAAGGAAAAAGATAAAAAAAATTAAAAAATTTTAACTTAAGAAAGTGTTAATGCAAATGCTAAATCAAAATTAAGATTTGAAGATAGTGATGAAAAAAGTAAGAATAATAATTCTAAAAAAATGATTGATAGTTAAATATCTTAAAAGAATAATTTAGTGAGCAAATGGAAAGATTAATTATTTGATGTTTTTGATAAAAAAACTATTAAATAACCTGAATCACCAAAAATACCTGAAAAATAAAATTATCCCATTCGTGATGTTCCTTATCATAGAGAATCTTCTACTCATTATCCTAGAGAAAACAAAAATTCTCAAGAAAAATTGTCTACTAAATAATAATTGATAAATCGTGCTTGTAATATACATGATGTTTTAAATATGCAGTATTAAAATTTCATGACCTAAAAAGAAAATCTTATAAGAAGATGATCGATTAAACTATTCAATATATATTTAAATATAATCAAATATTTCCATATCTAAATTTAATGTTTTAAATTGTTCTTTATATTTTCAAATTTCTATTCAATTGAAATTCAGTATAATAAATGAACAATATTTGCTGGAAGGAAAATTTTCTTTTAATAGTCCAAAGATATGAATATATTTACAACATAAATTCAGTTTCTTATGGTAGCACTTTCTTATTATTTAGTGCTACCATAAGAAATTGAATTTATCCTTTTTTAAATTACTGATTTAATAAGCCACTAAATCTAAAATTAATCAAAAAGTTTCTTCTTCAAAATTTGAGATATCTAATCTATCTAAAAAATATTATATACCATAAGAAAGCTTTTAATATATTCTAGAATCTTTGAAAAATTAACTAATCTAATTAGAAGACAAAAGTTGATTAAAATATATAATCCTCCTTAAATTTTGTTCCTTATTAATTCAATAAATATGAGAATAAGAATTAAGATGATATGATCTACAATAATTATTCTGAATCCAAATAATCATAGATTAATAAAAAAAAGTCAAGAACATATAAACTATAAACTTTGTTTTCTTTGAAATCTAGAAATTCTTTTTAAATTTAATGATTCTTAATAAGGTTTAGAAAAAATATTCAGAATAATAAATTCTTCTTTAATTTTATTAAGAAACTTATAAAAGTTTAAATAGTCATATTGTTTGATAGCTCAGTTGGATTAGAACAAATTGAGTGAATCTTACTATGATAATTTTTTAAGTCCATTTTGTATGCATCTGATAAATTAAGAATGATATCGAATTATTTAATTTCTGAAACATATAACATTAATTATAACTGCAGCATAATATTTTAATGTTTCTATTATGTATATAGGCAATAGAGACAATAAGCTAAATATTAATGGAATATTTACATTAAAGTATAATCTATTAATTATTGTGTTATTAAACTATTTAATTTTTGCACCAGATAATTAAAAATTAATTTGAGAAGTCAAATTTCTCAATAAACTTCATAATGATGAATATAAGAGATATTTCATTTGTATTTTTTATAAGTAGGATAGATTCTTGAAAGAAACTGGAATCAATTACATTAGTTTGAATAAATTATTCATAATTTGATATTAGTAAATAATTGCCATTATTAATCTAAGTTTTTTTCTTTTTTACATTATCATATTGGAGAAAATTACTCTATTTAATTTTGAAATAATAAAAAGTTAAGGAATAATTTATATTAAATTTAATAGTCTCCTTGGAATAAAAATGGGAATTTGTATATCTACCAATCAAAGTGGTCTTTTGATTAATAATACTGACATAAAAAACAATGATGAAAAATATAACTATAGTTTAGAAGAAAATTAAATTGATGTAGAGAGCCCAGAGATATGTTTATTAGACACAAATGAGCTGCATAAAAATTCTGTAAAAGCAACCAAAGAATAATGTTAAAGGGAATAAGTAAATAGAATTGTCAACGTACATGACTAATCTAATTCACAAAGATACTTTTTTGTTTATGATTAATTGTACAATGTAAAACGTAAAGTGCCAAAGCTAAAAAGTATTAGTCAAAGCACTTTAATTCAAAAACGTAAGTAATAAATACTTTGATTTTTATTATAATTATGTTTAATCAAACATCTAGTGAAATTCTCATGACCAGTAATCTTTAAGTTATTCTAAATCTATAAAAATATGAAATAAAAAGTCTAAAAAAAATTAACTAAATTTTATTAATCAAAAACATATATGATAAAGCAAAAAGATTATTTTTTTGATTTTCTTCTCTATTTTATGACAATTTTAAAAAAAGAAAGAATTTGGGAGGAATGATTTTAATAAATGATTGAAATATCAATACTGATCTTGTAAATAATTGTTGATAGATAATAAATACTTTTTAATGATTCATAATCTAGCAAGATGGGTATAAGAATTGAATGTATTATTAACTTAAAAGAATGAATATGATTTTTGAATGAGAATAGTTAATAAAATATAAAAAAAATATAAGAATAAATAAATAAAAAGATTAAAATAATTAATATGAGATTATTGGTTCATAATTTGTTAATGTGTAATAAATGTGATAAAAACAATTATCCTCTTAAGATAGAAGTGAATAAAAGTGTTATAATGGAATTAGAGTTCAAAAAAGATGCGATTTTAAAATTAATTCCAAAACTTGATTTTGAGGTATTATCAAATACAGTAAGAGAAGTAAAAGAATGAATTAAATATTAGCTTGGTTTTAAATAATTTCCAAAATAAATACCTCCAAATGTTGAATAAGATTTAGCTTTTTTAAAAGACTTACATAGAGTTTTATTTGAGGTAATGAATAAAAAAAAGAATTATAATAGACTCATATAATGGATGGTTAATTGACTTGTCCAAATCCATCTTGTAAAAGAAATTATCCAATTACAAATGGAATACCTAATATGATCTTGACAGAAGATGAACAATGATATAAATAGGTAATTTGTCAATAATAATAATTCTCTATTTTTTGAATATATTTAAATTGCTCTAGGAATATGAATAGGTTAATAATTATTACAATTCAATAAATTTGTTCTTTTCTTTTCTTGTCATTAATTAATTTTAATGAACAGCTAGGTAACTAAATAATCAGCATTTTAAAAACCATTAAATAAACCTCCTCTCTCAAGATTAAAACCAACAGAATTATAAGATCCATTTGTATAATAAGTTGATGGTTTTGATCCATAAAAATATGTTAAACCTGGATTGAGTAAAGAAGATGTCATCAAAATAAAAGAATGTTTTGATATTTTTGATGATGATAAAAGTGGCACTATTTCGTAAGAAATGACATGTTATCTTTTCTTAGACCTAATGAATTGAAAAATGCTATTGTAGCTTTAGGTATGGAATAAAGTATAGAAGATATTGTTAATATGATTCAAGATCTTGATTAAGATGGATCTAGATAAGTTGATTTTGAAGAGTTTTTATAAATATTTGGATTTTAAGGGTATTTTTTATTGATATTTAAGTTCTTTAGAAGATGAAGAAGTATTATCTGATTTATATAAATAATTTGATTCTTCAAAAGAAGGTAAAATTACTTATGAAGATTTCAAAAGAATCAATGACTTAGTCTCGGAAAGATATACTGAACAAGAATTAAGAGATATGGTACAATTTGCTGATTAAAATTAAGATGGAGTTTTAAGTTGGGATGAATTCAAAATTGTTATTCAATAAGAGAATTACAATAATAAAAAATGATAATACATATAAAATATAAATAGTCAATTTTTATATATCATTTCATTTTCCTTTACTGGAATACATTCTTCTTATCTTGTTAAACTTGATTTGTGTTTTTTTGTCTTTTTTGTCATTCCACAATAATCAAATAATGCATCTTTTGTTTCAATCTAAAAAAATAGCATAAATAAGAAATTTCTAATCTAAATAACAAATAATCCAACCACTTTTATAAATCAATCTATTATTTACATTCCAATTCGCTTATATCTATCGTATTTTTTATTACTTCAACTACTTGAGTAATTGTAAAAATTATAATAAACTTATTCAACTGGGTGTCAATTTTATTTATTGAAAGCAATGGAGAAACCAATACAACAACTAATATTATGTAACTACAGATAGTGCTAAGAATAACTTTTGTTGGTTGATCAAACTCACATAAAAGTTCACCTGGTCGAGTTTGATACATTATGAGGGGACTTGATTAAATGATTTCTTTTTATTTACATTATCATCAAAGATAGAGTTACTAATGTCATATTTATTATTGAACTTTCATTCAATTCTTTTCTACATTTCGAATATATTAAACATAAAAACAATGTATAAATTGATAATTAAGTGCCATGAATAATTAATGCCTAAAATATAATCTTTATAATAATACTTAAATAGTACAAGTTGTATCATTAACAATTTTCTAATTTTTTTAATGTTCATTAACTAACATCATACCAATGTTTTGTAATGCCACTAATGTCGTTAATAAGAATTTAGTCTTTAAATATGGGACTTAATTTTGAATAAGTAGCAAATAAGCAGTGATAATAAGGACATATTAAACAAATTGAATGGAACTAAAAACTATGATTGAAATAAGGGCTATTTAAAATGCTCCCATTTTAAAATAAAATTAATATGCAATAATAATAGGTGGTTTTGAATTTTGAATATCTAAGACCAGCTTAATATCTAGTAGATGCAATAGTGCATGATCGTAAATTTATTTATAGATTTGGTTTAGCCTAATACATAAAGAGAAAAGAGAGATCAAAGAGTTAGAGAAAAATTTGGGAGAATGTACCTTACGATGCTTATGAAAAAGAAAAGATGGGAGATTTCATGAAGATAGTAACTAAGAATAAAATATAATTACCTGCAGAGTAAAAATAAATTGTTAATTTCCACAATAGTTGGTCAGAGAGTGATACATTAAAAATGGTTTATTGTGGCAAATTTAAGGATAAGAATTATTTAAAAGTCTTACAAGCTCATTTAGCATGGAGAGCAGTACCAAACAATTTCTCACCTACTGATATAAATATAGCATTTTTACAAAAAGGCATAGTTTACACTTTTGGGAGAGATAAATAATAAAGACCTATAATTATAATGAATCTTGAATTGGTAAATTTGAAATAGGTAAATAAAATGGTTTATTTTTAGTTTAGTGAAGAAGTATATATTAATGCTTTAAGTTACTATTTCTGTATAATTAAGAAAAACTGTTTTGTTCCTGGAAAAATAGAAAATTGGGTATTCATAATGGATACAAAAAAATTAGGACTTTCTAAATTTCCTTTTAAAGTATTATTTGAGAATATATAATATAGGCAATTCAAATAGCAACAAAAACAATGCAAGTGAATTTTTGTGGTTGTTTAGACAAATTATATTTATTAAATCCTTCAAGTTCATTAAGTTTTTCATGGAAGATGGTTTCTGGTATTAATAATAATATAATAAAAAGCTGTTGCTGATGCTGATACAATGGAAAAGATTCAAATGTTGAAACCAAATGAATATTAAAAAATATAGGAGAGAATTCCTGTAAATTAATTAGAAGAATAATATGGAGGAAAAGTAGCAAATTTAACAAAATTCTGGTAAGAATAATTAATTATAATTTAGGCCACCTATTAATATAGAAATTCCAGGGGGATATACAGAGGAAATCTTAAAAGCAGTAGAATCAATGAAAACAGCTGAAATAGTAATATAAAAAGAAGCACCTGCTTCAGAAGAAGATGAATTGAAATTATAGGAATAGATGGCAAAAATGTAAATAAAGAAAGAAGATGATGATGATGATTGATAAAATGTTTAATACATTCAATAAATATAATATTATATGAGTTTCTTTAGATCTAAAAAGATGAAATATTATAGTTTAGTAATACCTAGAGAAAGTGCTTGGGTAGTGATGAATGAATTAGCAAGATTAGGATAATTACATTTTGTAGATTATGATCCATAATTACCAATGATCAACAGACCATTTGCTAATTATGTAAAAAGGTACTAATAAAATGAATTAATATAAGATGTGATGATTCCATTTTTAAATTAAGTAGTCTAGAGTTACTCCTTAAGGAATTCAAAAAAAATCTTAATTATTGTGAAAATGTCGATACTTTATTGGATTACTTCTAATACATTTAAAAGAATAGAATGAAACCAGGACATACTTATTTTGATGAATTGGAACAAGAAATTGAATTAAAAAAATTATAAATTCAAGAGCAATCTACTAATTTGCAAAATCTCTTGGAAAGAGTAAATATCATAACAGAATAGTAAATGGTTTTGGAAAAAGCTTAAGATATTCTAGGTTAATCAGCATTCTAATAGTATTGTTATGATTTTAATAAATATATAGATAAAAACCACATAATCCAAATGATTATTAATAATTAAAATTTGGTTAATTAATAGGTGTGATAGATAAAGAAGAAGAAGTTAGATTCAAAAGAATTATATTTAGAGTTACCAAAGGAAATGCTTGGGTTTAAATTATGGACTTAAACAATGAAGAAGTACATAATTCAATGAGGAAATCTTTTCATTTGAATTAAGTTAAAAATTATTATATTATAGGATAAAACATAGTAACCAAGATGTTTATATGTAATCGTATATCCTGGAATGGAGGAGTAAAGTTCTTTAAAAATGAAATTGATGAAAGTGTGCGATTCCTTCAATAGATAGAGAATTGAATATCCAAATTCGTTAGATTAGTTGTAGAGAAGGATGGGAGAATTAAATTAATAATTATAAGAAGCTAAAAATTTAATAGAAATGACAAAGCACTAATTGGATTAATCATTAGATGAATTAGTTTAGTAGAAATAGGGATGCAATTGCTCTTATTTTGAATATTTACGATTATACATATTGAGGGAGAAATATCTTTATGTAAATTTAAATTACTTAACAATGAGAGGATCAATTTTTACAGGATATTTTTGGTTGCCAGATGGATTGGAATAAATAGTAGAGGAAAAATTAAGAAATGCAATGAGAAATAATTTAGATAATTATCCAACAGGTTAAATTTAAGAAATGAAACCTTAATATACTCCTCCAACTTATTTCAATTTAAATGAAGTTACAATGCCATTCTAAGAGATTGTTAATACTTATGGAATACCACGGTATTAAGAAGTAAATCCTGGATTATTTACAATAATAACGTTTCCATTTTTATTTGGAGTAATGTTTGCAGACATAGGACATGGATTTATGTTATTTCTTTGTGGAATTTATATAATATTGTGGAAAGGTTATCTCTCAAAATAATAGGATTCTATATTCAATGTAATGATACCATATAGATATCTACTAATATTGATGGGATTCTTCGCATTTTATAATGGATTTATTTATAATGACTATCTATCAATATCTTTGAATCTTTTTGGTAGTTGTTATTCACCTGAAAAAGAAGAATGGAAAAGAGAATAAAAAGATTGCGTATATCCATTTGGAATTGATCCAGTATGGTAAGCTTCAAGTTCAAGTCTTAATTTTATGAATTCGTATAAGATGAAATTATCAGTAATTTTAGGAGTTATTCATATGTTATTTGGTATACTAATGAAAGGAGTAAATAACTTATATTTTAAGAACTATTTAGATTTCTTCTGTGAATTCATTCCTTAATTATTATTTATGGTATGTACTTTTGGATGGATGGATTTCATAATTATAGTTAAATGGTTAAACATATATCCAAATAATGCTGCTCCAAGCATTATTGAGACAATGATAAATCAAGTATTAAAACCATTTGACAAACCTAACACTCCTATATTCCCAAATGAACCTGAATTATAATTGTAAATAACATAAATCTTAACTCTTATTGCTATTATATGCATACCTTGGATGTTACTTCCTAAACCTTTTATTTTAGGATCTAAAAATAATAAACATAAAGTATCCATGTCTGATTCTCAATATTAACCATTGGTTATGGAAAAGTAAGTCTCAGATTCAGATGAAGATCGTAATTAATAGTTTTAAAATGATTTAAAAAATGCTGATAATCTTAAAAGCATTACTGAATAATCTCATGAAGAACATGATTCAGGTGAAATTTGGGTTCATTAAATGATAGAGACTATTGAATTTGTATTAGGAGGAATTAGTAATACTGCTTCATATCTACGTCTTTGGGCATTATCTTTAGCACATGGATAATTAGCAGAAGTATTCTATGATATGTGTTTGGCTGGTAAATTAGACACAGGAGGAATATTAGGTGGATTATTAGCTGGATATTTTTATTTAGTCTTTGCTTTCCTTACTTTTGGAGTTTTGATGACTATGGATGTTATGGAATGTTTTTTACATGCTCTACGTTTACATTGGTATTATATTCTTTAATCAAAGGGTTGAGTTTTAGAACAAGTTTTATAAGGCAGATGGATATTTATTTGTGGGCTATTCTTACAAAAAAGTTTTGAATGAACACCTTAAATAACCAAATTTAAAATGATATAGAATTAATTCAAGTCACATAAATATCTTATATCTTTATAATCCAAATTATAAATATATATTTTTTTCATTATCTATATCAAATATTATAAATCCCTTTTTATTTTATTTAAAGTAATTTCATATTTTCTTTTTTTTATCTTTCCTCTATAAACAATAAATGAGAATAAATTAATTTTTATTTTATAATTAAATAAATAGGATTTATAATCTTTTCATATTATTATATAAGATAAAAATCAATTAACTTATAAACAAGAATCTTTTTTTTTAATTAATATTTAGTATGTATAGGTGAGCATTCATAAGTCCTTAGTGTAAATTCAATAAAAATATTATTATGACAACCAAAGATGATTTTAATTTTATTTAAATAGATTATCATAATTTTTAAAAATTAAGATTTAAAATATAAGTATATATAATAATGAAAAAATGAATAATTATGGTCTAAAGAATAGGATACTATTTAGATTTACTTTAGATTATTTTAATTTTAAGTTGCTAGTTACTTAACTATGTAAAATCTTCATCATAAACAATAATGCTTTGGATGAAATAATTTGAAGCTATGAGAAGATAAAATTTTTAACTTTATAGCAATGTTTCTACGATAAATAAAAATTTAATAAATCTTTGATCAACAATAAAGAAATTAACATACATTGATTTAATAGTAAAAAATGTGAAATTTTAATTATTTCTCATCCATTTTAAAAAAATTTATTTTCACTTTATTTCTAGCATTCTGTCGCATTTTAAATTTCTAAATCCATATATATTTACACAAAAATTGATGACTTTTTTACCTTTTATGTATATTTTTTTAATTTTATTTTGAAAATAAAATAAAATTAAAATGATTGTTATTTTATTAATTGATTTTATAAAATTTATCAATTTAAAGGGTCAGGAATTATCATTATTGAAATAAAAATTAGGCTGGAGAAATTGACAGATAAATTCGAGGTAGAATAAATTATCAAAATAAATTCAAGGAACAAGCAAAAATAAGAATTCAAATAGCAATAAAATGGATTATATGAATAAAGAGAGAAATTGTGATCCAGAAAATCTTAAACGTACAAATATAAGTTAAATTAATTATGTGACTTTTAGTATAATGACAATTTCATTTATTTATACATGAAATTGGCAGATAGCAATTTAGACAATTATTCCTAAAAATAATAGGATTAATTTTAAAGATTATTAAATTAAAAGAACTTAATAAAATAATTAGATAAATATAGAATATTTTTCATTAACTTTATAAAAAAGTAGTAAATCAATATCAAAATGAATAGTTTTCAAAAAATTAAGTCATATTTATTAGAAATGAAAGATATTCTTATGATTGAAAACATTTTCAGCAATTTTAAGTTGAATTAAAATAAAACTATACTGGAATCTATAAACTATCTTAACAACTACTCTAATATAGATTATTTAAATTAAGACAGTTAATTTCTATGATTATGAAAAGTCCTCTGTGAATGTCATTATAGAAAACTAATTATTTGGAAAGAAAAAATTTAATTATACAAACTTAGAAATGTTAAATAATTGAAGAGTAAGAATTATTTTTATGAGATTAAATGATGAACTCTGTTCAATATTAAATTTCTATGAAGATTCAAGAAATTTTAAATGGAATGGAAAATATATTATTTTATTATTTATTAAATAAATGCTCAAGAAAAATAAAAAATGAAAGATTTATAAAAAAATAAGTTAAAGATCATCTAACTTTTATTAATTTGGATCATAAATTGATTTTATAATCATAATGCAAACTGTTCTAAAAGTAATTCAACTTTTTAACCAATAGTTTTCTAATTATCTTACAAACCCATATCCTTATCTCTTAAATCAGAAAATTAATAAAATTAATTAGAATCTATAAAAGAGGTGTCTAATTCATCTAAAATAGTAATTTCCTCCGTCAATTCTTTATCTTAAGATTTAGTTTTTAATTATTGAGTTAGTTAATTTTATAAATGTGGAGAATATAATAAGTTTGATTAAATTTATTAAAGTCTTTTAAGGGCTTCTCTATAAACTAATTATTCAGTATTTCTTTTATTGACGCCTACTTTTGTGATTGAAATGAGATTATTTAATTCTAATTGAACCTAATAAATATTAATAGGATTTCCATTTTAAGAAGGGTCCTTCTTCCACTCAATAGAAACTTTTGGTTTTAAATTTGTACAACCATTAACAAATTCTAAAAATGCTGATTTTGGATTTTATTTTAACTCTACTAAAGGAACAGTTTATCCTCTATGTTGAAGTAATTTATAATATATACTTATCTAAAACTTATTTTAGTATAGGTTAGACAACTTCTCTTAAATGTTCTAAATCATAACTAGAATCAAAATATTATGCAGCTATTATGGATTTCAAAGTTTCAGCAAGAATCTTTGGATTTTTTCTAATATAGCTTAAATTTAATACTTTAAGTTTATTTAGTTGCCCACTTAAATTAAGTTATCTAACTTATAATTTAAAGCTATCTCAGCTAGATTTCTTTCATTTAATAGTCTTTATCTTAGTAACACTAGATCACTTGACTTCTTTATTTAAGTTTCTTTGTTTGGATATCTAAATGTAATTTCTTTATAACTTACCCTCTTTAAATCAAGTAATCAGAAAAAAAAAACTCTAAAATTATTTACCCTATTCCTATAAAGTCTTCATTATTCCCATATGGATATTTGATACCTTTTTTCGATTAATATTCCAACTCATGGATTTTATTGGTTAATGCTTAAGCTAATGTATTTGTGTTTTAAAATGAGAAGATTTTGTTATTCATTTTGTGAATAATAATATTGTCTTTACAATATATATGATGGCTATAATCTCTATTTTACTCTGAATGATTTCAGATCCACTATCTCATATAATTTCAATTTGCACATTATTTCGGAAACTCTTTAATGCCACTTGAAATTCATCCATTTTTTCCTAAATCTTCAGTTCTTCAAATTCAATTTAAAGCTCTATCATTGTTTTTAAAAAACTATAATTATACAGATTATCCAAAATTATTTTACTAAATAGAATTCTCAATGAAATTTAAAATTTCCTCTAGTTATTTTACGTCTTCTAAAATCTTTTAAATCAAGTCAAGAGCCAAAATAAATCATATAATAAACCAAAGAACTTATTATTTATGATGGAAATGATTAAGTCTTTATATTCGATGGAAAATGTTGAAAAATATATACATAAAAATTACAAAATTTCATCAACCATAAATTTTATTTTTTCTTATGAATCAATTTCTAAAAATAGTTCCTATTAAAAGGTTTTAGAATTCAGAATTAAATTTTCTTTAGGTTATCTGATAATTAATGTAAATTCTGTAAAAAAAATCAATGAAAGTGCTTTTTTGAAGGGAATTTTATAAATTTATTTACCACTTTTATAATTTGAAGTCTAAAAGAATTTCAGAAAACCAAAGAGGATCTATGATGAACAATCAGTATATTTCTTCACCAAAATTCAAATATTTGAGCTTTTTGAAATAGCATGTATTGATTTATAATTAAATCATCTTTTAGATAGTTTATCTATTGATAGCAAAGAAAAATTTTTCATCTTATTGTTAATGATATAAATTTGAGAGATTATTAATTAATTAAAATAATTTTCAATAATCTTTATAGGTATAAAATAATGTAAATAATTAGGAAAATTGAAAACAATCAATAATGTTTCCCTTAATATAAGAAAACCTTATATAAATAAATTAGATATTAATGGAAATAATTTTAATGCTTTAAAAGAATTATAAGTTTAGTATAAAATCTGAGTTAATCAGAAAAAATCAGAAAAATTCATTTTTTATGATAAGAGCCAAATCTAATTCTTTAATTATTCTAAAGAGTGTCACTTTAATTATTAGAGCTCTTAAATCTGAATCTTTTTTCAGGATAATGAATTTGAGATAAGGTAGTTGTGTGAGAACTTGATTAATTACTCAATCTAAAAATTGGGTAGATATTTTCTTCAGGATCCAGATCTCTTGGAGAACCCTAATCAAACAAAATTAAATATATATACAATTCAAAATATCAAGTATAGTTTCTTCAATTTAATCTTATCTTTTGCAATGACAAATAGTTGAGTATAAATTATTATCCTTTAGAATTAAGAGATCTATTTATTTATCTCAAATACCTTTTATACATCCTTTTTATTCCATAGAAATCTAATTACGTTAATACATAGTCCAAATAGCCAATAGTATTTAGCTTTCTAAAGTAGTTGACATATATAATATTTTTATTAATTAAATTCTTTATGATATCAATAAATTATAATATTATCGTCTGATGAAGCATTAATCAAATGAAATTTATAAGAATAAAATAGTATTCATTCCTTAACTTTTTTATATTTAATAAGTATATGGATTAATTAAAAGGAATAGGAATTTAAGTGTTCTATACTATATTAAAATAACATAGAAGAAAGTTAAGACCTGAAATGAGAATACTAGGTGATGCTTATGTAAAAGAGGAATTTAGATAAGCAAATTAAAAGGCAAATTAAGAATAATATATAGAATTTTTAAAGAGATGGTATATATTTAAATAATATTGAAAAGGGCTATTTATATTGAAGAATTAGATCAATCTAAATTGATTGGTAGAGATTTAACTTCAGAGGAAAAATCATTATTGAATGATGAATAAATAGAAAACTTAGCTAAGTTAAAAGAATTCTCAAAATAATAAAAATCTGAATGAAATATATGTATTGATTTAAAAATACAAAATAATTCTTTTATTTAGAAGAGTAAAATCACACATAGTATTCTTGATAACATAAAGATAGAAGAATAAAAAAGTATTAGAATTAAAAAAGTAAGATAGTAAAAAATAAAAAGTAGATGCAAGATAAAATTTATTGAATGATCAGAATCTAAAACTAGAAATGTGGATAAATTTTTATTAAGGACTTTCATGATTATCTAATTATTCTAAACTAGAAGACTTTGAATTAACACTTGATTTTTGAAAACTTAAATTGTCATTTTAATCTTGTCCAGATTCCTAATTAAAATAAGTATTTTTACTGAACTCACAAACTCATAATCATAAGGATGTTTAGATGTTTAAAGATAAATTTTTCTTGCACCTTCTATTATTTATTAATATATAAATATACTAATATCAATTGATTCTGATTCAGAATCAGATGGTTAATCATAAAATGATTAAATTTTGACCATCTATGTAAATGTGCCACTATAAGTAAATAGAACACTCTAAGATTAGTATCTAATTTGTATAGCCCTGTTCTCGCTTTATTCCCAAACAATTTCATCACATTCAATTATAACTGCTTTAAATTGTATTAGAGTGTCTAATAATTTAGATTCAATTTTACTTTATTCTAAGTCTTCATAAAATTATCCTACCCAAAAAGGGTATATTTCATTATTAGTATGCAAACTCAAACTATTAAATGGATTCCACATTCCTAATGCTGGTACATCTCCTACAATTCTAAGTTCTTATTATGAATGTGTCTCACATCTGACTTTAAAGTACACTAATATTGGCATGTAGTTAAAACAATTAATTTAATATAAATAGTAAAATAAGATTGAAATTTCATTAAAATAATATTGGTATATATAATGTGTTTAATAATATAATCAATATTAATTAGATTTAGAATTTTCTATATCTATGTTCCTGGAAATTTCTATAATTTAAATTTAATTGTTTTTTCATAAATTAGTAATTTTATTAACACAAAGAGAATATCAAAGATCAACGCTTTCTGATCCAAAATTTTATTGATAATTTTGTTCATTTGATTATTTTTTTGGACTATATTCAAATTATTCATTAGAAATCAACGAAGTTTCTTCATCATAAAATAAAGAATTCTCATCACTTATTAATTCTTCATCCTAATCAAAATGATTTCAATAATTACCGAGTCTTCATCTGAATCATATAATTTCTCTTGTAGTTATATTGAAATCTTTCTTGCGCTAGCTAAAAATAAATTAAATAAAAATACACTCAGTAATATTAGTTAAATCAGTATTTGAGAACAGCTTTCTAATATTATGAATAATCAATGATGGCTAATTAAAAGTCAAGACAACTATCGTCTTTTAGCTTATAATTTATATCAATTTGTTTGCTCCAATCTCCCATTGAAAATTTATACCATCATTAATAACTATTTTAAACTCTAGTATTTAATCTATTTATTCAAATATAAGTTTACTTGGTTCAACCTCCAAAGGTAATTCATTTATCCAAACAGGATACATCTCTGGAGTAGTTATCAATTTAATTCCATTTTATGGATTCCAATCACCTAATTATGGATTGTTTCCCACTATCAGAACAGTTTAAGTAAATTAAGTTGGACATATAACACGAAATAAAATCTGTGCACTCATTTATCTATTATTTTTTATATTAAAAATTAATTTATTTATAGTAAAATATAAAATAACTAAAATTAAATCATTTTTCATTTAAAAAAAAATCAGATCATTTAATTTATATATTATAAACTAAAGTCTAATTCTATTCTAAATCATTTTAAGATTAATATAATATTAATAATAATTTCGAAAAAGCATCTTAATTTTTCATTATTTTATTTTTACATTCTTAAATAACTTGTATTAATTGAATGAATGAATTTCTCATATCATATAATATAAAAATTTTAGAAGTAAAATTATTTATTTTAATTATAAATTATAATAAATGTCCACTGATGAAAAAGAAGCTTAATAAAGTAAGTATAGAGAGCAAGTTATACATGCCGAAACTTTGAATATGATGGCAAAATATTAATTAATATTTTTAAAGATGGAAATCTCAATGAGGAAAGTAGCATTAATACTAAAATTAAAGTAATACTAACTGTTAATAATAGAGGAAATTAATAAAAATTTTACGCCTTTAGAAAACTAAAGAAAAGTAGCTCTTATAATTCTAATCATTTCAAAGTTTTATTTAGTTTAATAGCATTAAAATATTAATAAGTAGGAATAATTATTCAAAAAAGATAAAAAAACAATATGCACTATGCTTTCTTAAAAGTTCGTTTCTTATTTCCAAAGAATAAAAATGATAAAATAAGAAGATCATTTCTTCAAGTAATTGCTTCTAAAGATGCTGAAATAAAAAATCTATAAATCAAAGAATAAGAAATTACAGAAAATATTACAAATCAAAAGTTAAAAGAATAAGAACTTTTATCAAAATTAAAATAAAAGGAATTAATCTTAACTTAACTTGAAAATGAATTAAGAAAGAATTCAGCCAATAAAACCTTTGATTCAAAAGTATTTCTTGATTATATTAAGTTACGAAATTTAGAAATAGAAAATTAAGAAATGTAAGATCGTATCATGGGAACTGAAGATTCAGTTAGTCTCTTTATTAGAGAAATGAATGATATGTTAGATAGTCATGAAATTAGCACAAATTTAGGTATTTTGTTTAACAATCAAATAGGAATAGATTCAGATGAAAATTAGTCTTATGAATAATCAAACTAAGTTATTGAATATTAGAGTTAAAGATTGAATTAAAATTCAAGATAATAAAAATCTAAGAACTTTTACTCTAATTAATTGACAAGGAGTACTAAAATTAATTGAATATATCAATATCAAATTCAGAATAACTATTATTTGATTTTCTTATCTTGCTGATAAATTTTATTATACTGTTGATTTAATAAAATTGAATAATTGTTAACTTAAGTTTTTGGTTTTTATTTATTTATATTTGTAGCATCTTGCAATTCTTTCTCCTAATTCTTATTTCTACCTTATACTGCTAATTTTATTGCTTGCTGGTTTTAAAGTTTAAGCATTTCATTTTCTTATTCTAATTAAGATAATTTGAAATTTATAGAATCGTTTGGATTTAATGTGATCATATGTTTTAATTCCTAAATTTCATTTTCTAAAGCTAGAATAGTATTTTCATATTAATGTATTTTCAATTCATAACCCTATTTAATGGTTTTTAGCTAAAATATTATTTACGTCAATACTTCTACTTCTTTTAATTTTATAGTTTAAATGCTTTCTAATATGCATTCATCAATTGTTTTTATGATAATCTAACAGTCTTCAATTGAAAGTTATTATCCAGCAATTATTTTTGACAAGAATTTTTGAAGTTCATTTTACAAAGCTAATTCAAATTGTCTTTTTTGAATAGTGACATTAATTTAATTTGGGTATTATTCCTCTTCTAGTTCATCTAAAATATTTCCTTATTAACTGTAGCTTTTTTGTCTGCTCTTGTTACTTATGGATGATGTAAAGTTGTTTCCGTATGATACATCAAATGATTGATTATGTTCTGATCTGCTTTTATAACTATTATCATTGACGAATTTAGGACCTAAATTTAAAAAATTTTTATGATTTACCTTATGATTAGTTCAAGTTTTTCTTCATCGACATAATAACTATAAAATTATGATTAATATTTAAAATAGTTAAATTGGTTTTATATTGTTAATATTATATAAAATTAACTCCTAATATTAGATTTATTAAATAAAATAATAAAAGTAAAATCACAAATTAATCGTATCCTAAATTTCTTTTTACAATTCAATATTGATATGATTTATTGCAATGTCTGATTTTTAAAATTTAAAGGTAACAAACTATAATTTATTTAAGGGAAAATCTATTTTCTTAAAAAAAAATAAAGAGTTTTTGATTGAAAAAATGAATTTAAGGAGTTTGAGATTTTTAAATATTAATACATATTAATACAAATCATCTAAAATTGTTGTAAGTTAATATTTATAAATAAAAAAGTTAATTCATTTTATCATCATTTAACAAATAAATTTCTAAAACTACGATTAATCGCTTTATAAGCTTTTAATTAAACTAATGATTTTTAAATTTATTGGTTTGCATCTTTTATTACTTTTTCTTTTTTTTTCTATCTTCTATCCATATTTAACAATCTCATTTATTCAAAATTCAATTCGACATGACTGTTTCTATTTTTAATTTCTGCATCTATATCTAATTAATAACAGTAATATTAAGAATAATTTTAGAACTCTTCTATACCGAAAAGTGTTTCACTTTCTATAAGTCTTGGGAATCCTTTTTCTTAAGCACTTGAATATTTACTAAGAACATTTTTAAAGTTACTTTCAGGATAAAAGTGAGTATATTCTTAGATTTAATCAAAATTAGAAAGTGAACTTAGATGAAATTATTTAAATTTTTCTTGTATTTCTTTTTTTTTTGTTTTAATTAAAAAATTATCAATTTTCTCTGTTATTCCTCCAAAATATTTTTCACTAATTGTTAAATTTGGATTTGGGACGACATAAGTATATTTTTTGGTCATTTTGCCATTCAAATATTTAATACTTTTAATCCTGCTTTTTTATTTGAGATTATAGATCTGATATTCAGGATATTAAGTTTCTATTATATCTTCATCAGCTACATTATAACTATTAAGAAGATCTTCTAAATATGTCTTTTTTTTTTAATTCGTATTGATTAATTTCGAATTTTCAAATCTTTATTATGCTGATTTTATTTATTAAATACACTTTCTTGCATTATAATCAATTCTATCCCTACGAAAAAAAGCAGCTTAATGTAGTTTATCAAATTATTTGAGAAATTTAATAAAATGTGTGGCTGATCTAAAATAAAAAGTAATTTTACACATTAAAATGTAAATTCTCACAATCTCTTGCAATATGATCATCCATTTAGCATATATAACAACGCACACCAATAGATCCATAATCTTTATGAAATACTATCTTATCCCTAAGCATATAATACTATTCTAAATCAAAAATTCTGTTTGATTAAGTTTATGTAGAATCTTAGAATCCTTTTAGATTTTACTAAAATAAAACTTAAAAAATTTGAAAGATGCTAGAGAAATTTACACTCCTTGAACTTGCAGATCTTGGCATATTTGAATAAAAACTTATTTCACCAAAATAATCATTTCTACATTTTTATTCTATTACTATACCAGTTTTTTTATAAAATATATCAACTAATCCAGATTTGATCATAAACATATCATAATTTTATTAGAAATCAAATTCATCAAAAATAACTTCTTCTGGATTGTAAATTCTTTCTTTCATACTTGGCAAAACAACCTCGATAAGAAATTATTAGGAATTATTTTTCATCAAAATATCGCAATATCCCAATAATTTTCCATTTATTTATTTTCTTAAATCATTGGCTAATTCAACTTAAACTTAATTAGTTAAATCTTATAATACTAATGATTTAGATTCCATCACAAATTCAATATATCTTCTAATTCTATTTTATAATTAATTAGAAATAGCAGCTTTTTTCATAAATCTATTTATGCCATTAATTTTCTCTTTTTTCAACTTATTTTACCCATCAATTTCTTAAAGTGCAAATCCTATTGAATTCATAGTAAATGCAAAACCACCACAAGCAATAAGTAAAAGTAGTATTCCAATTAATCTTTCTTAAGGTGTTTATGGACTTATATCTCCATATCCTACAGTGGTCATTGTGGCTATGCCCCAATATAAAGAATTAACATATCTTATAGACCAATCAGAAAAATAAATATCTCCTAACCAAGAATCATCGCTTGGTTCATATTATGCAAGATAATGAAATATACAACCAAGTACATGTGCAAAAAATAATACAAAAAAAAATAACTTACAAAAATTTACTATTGCTGCTACACCAGGCTTAATTGATAATATTTCATCAAATTTATCTATTATTTTTTTTAGCTTTGCCAACCTTATTAACTTTAATACTTTAATAAATCTTAAGAATTTCAGTAATCTTATTAATTTAGCACTTTAAACTAATGAAGATGATTCATCCATTATTATATCATAAGGAAATGTTGAAATAAAATCAATCCAAAACCAAAAACTGATATATTCCCTCAATATTGCTTTTCTACAGATATTTAATTTACCTTCTAAATAAACACCTGTATTAAAATTAAGGAGAATATCAAATACAAATATGGCTGTGCTTACTCTTGAAAATATTTAACTTATTTCTATTTCAAAACTTATTAAAAAAGGAATTGTTATCATTTCATATATTACTAATAATAGACATAATAAGTCCCATAACATTTTCATTGAACCATCTGGACTAAATGTGTAAGGTTATTTTAGAGTTACTAATTATTTTGTCTTATTATAAAATCTACGAAAACGAATTGCAATGCGATCCCAATTGAAACTAAACTTTGTTTTTTATGTCTGTTTTGCCGATAACAATCTTCTTTTATAGCGATTTTGACGTAAGCGTCTTTTTTCTTTAATTTTATAACCTTCTAAAGGTTTAGCTTCCTAATCATAATCAGATCCACTTGTAATAGCTTCATCTGCTAAGAATTTATATTATCTTGTTGTTAAGACATCTTTCTTTTAATTTTGAATGAATTATACATATAATTCCATTATAAATAATAAATTATTTCATTTAAAATCTAAATATCAATCTTTTTTGATTTAAATTCTCATTAATCAATTATTTTAACAAATCTAAAATGGTTATATTATTATTTCAGTATTGTTAAAATAAATTGTTAAAGCCAATATTTTTGCTTTCGATTAGTTTATGTCTAAAATTTGAAATATTAATATTTTCAGTGTTAAGTTAACTATATGTGTTCATCATTAAATAAAACGCAAAGCTATTCTTTAATTTATGACAAATTTTTAATTTTATTATTAATGAATATTGATCTAATTAAAGTTATTGAGAAAAATTAGAAAAAACTTGAAATACATAACCAAAAGTTATCTTCTTAAGCGAGAGATATTTATGCATTAGTATTGGATTCAAAATTAATAGACTATAATGTACGCGAATAGCAATTTTAAGAGCAGTAGTATTGAAAGGAGTTATGTAAGTACAAGAAAATCAACAAAATAGAATTCTGTAGTTCCCAACAAATCTGAATTATCTCGTCTTATCGATTCGGTAAGAATAAAATATGACCTTCAAGTCTTCTCCAATATCTGTTAAACAATCACATATAGATCATATTGCTTCTGTTAGTCCAAATAAAGATGATTTGACTAGAATTAGACTAGAAAATGCTGCATTGAAAGAAAAAATTAATTCAAAAGATAAGTAGATTGATTAATTGGATAAAACAATCAATGTATTAAAAAAAGAAAAAGATCTCATGACTTAATAATATTAGAATACAATTAATCGAATCAATAAAGAATTAGAAATTGGAAAAAAAAATGCACATAATGTAGAACAAGCCCTTTAAGAATAAATAAAATTTTTAGAATAAAGTTTAGAAAAAAATCAAAATAATGATTTTAGATTAAAAGAAATGGAAACTACTATGTAGATAACTATTCTAGAAAATGAATAATTAAAACAATAAAAAAAAGAGGATGCTAAATGGTTAAGGGAATTATAGGAATAATTTGAAATATTTTATACAAAAAGTTAGGAGACAAAAAATAAAATTGATGATACTAAACATTTTATTCTTCAACTCTCAGAAATAACTTAATATTTAATAAATAAATAAGCACCTCCCTTAGAATTTTTTGTTCATATGAATAAATTACAAAAATAATCAAAAGTAGAATCAACTCCACTTCCAAAAGGAAGCTCTATGAAACTAATCTTTGCTCAAGTATTTTCATTATAAATAGAAACTTTAGTAACTTTAAATTAAATTCTTAAGGATACTAAAACTTAAGTAGAAAAATTTTCTAATTAATACATTTCTTAAGTTGGCTTATAATTGGTTTCATTATGATTATATAAGTATTGAAAAAATTTAAAATTAATTACAAATTATTAACTTTTTTTTTAATAAAAAAATATATATAACAATTATTTTATCAATTAATTAAAAATATCAGTTCATATTTATACCTTAATTAATGGATAATTTAACAAGAAATCACTTTTAGTATTTGTTGACCATACGAAAGTAGAATTAAGTGATAAATTAATTTATAATTCATTTAGTAAATTGCTTTAATTTTTCAATAATTTTCAATATAATTTCTATTATGGTAATTAAAAATAAATTTATTTGGCAATTTCTATATTAATCTTAATATCTCTTTTAACTCAAATGTTTTATTGGTTTTAAAAATAATTAAATAGGCTTTTAGGATTATTTTTTTGTTGGTATTGTTTAATTTTTTGAAAGGTCATATAAACTTTATTTATTGATTCAAATATCAGTATGTCCTTAAGATGCTCGTTGTATTTTAAGAAATTATTATTAATTTTTCATTAAATTAATTTATATCAAGAATACAATTTAATGTTTACGCTATTTTTGAAGAAGCTTCGTTCATTAACGATGAAAAGTTAAATCATTTTATTTAATTTGTTAACCCTAATTTTAGTACTTTCAGTTGGTTGGATAAACTATTATGTTTAAACAGAAATATTTTCTGCAATATCATCAAATTCATTATCTCAAATACTTTAAATATAAGATTAAGATTAGATTGGCTTTTTAGCATAAAATTTAGGCTTAGTAATAGAAACAAAATTTATGGCAGGTTTGAATTTAAATAATATAAATAGTTCTTTAATAGATGGAATAAATAAATCATTTCTATAGCTTTTTTCAAAGAGAAAAAGAAAATTTAATTAATTATTAATAAATGGATCCTTGCATATCAATAAACGATTTTCTTAAGAATAACATATCATTCTATGTTCCAAAATTCTGTTATTAAGCTATTGGAGTTCCTGATTATATTAGTATACCAAATAGCGAAAAAGAAGTCTATATTCTTCAAGATTTTCTTTCTTTATTAAATCATTATAGCTTAGTTCTAGATAGATCATTGGCAGGAATGATTTAAGTAGCTTCAGTGTCAAAAACTAAGTATTTTAGTCAGTTTCCTTTTTGTTTTTTACTACCTTGGTTTGATATTACCTAATTGCCATGGTAAATTGAAATTTTAATTTAGGTATTAAAATCATTTGTTGGAATCAGGCTAAAATAAAGGATTTATTTTTTCACCTTTAAATGATTTCTTCATTACAAAAATTAAAGAAATGTCAATAACAAGTTCTATTTATCATAATGGTTAAATAATCGGAATCATAAGGGAAGGATTAATTATTAATGATTATCTTATACCTATTGTTCCATATAATGTATTATTATTGGATCATGAGGGTTTAGTGGTTTATTTTAATATAGAATAATTACGAAATAAAACTGATTACTTTTATATATATGAAGAAAATGTGACTGGCTTTAATAAAACTGATTGGAAAGAAATGATTCAATTTTCTAAAAAAGATGATAAAATCATTTTAGTTTTAGAAAATAAATTATCTTAAGAGAAAGTAAATGTATATTCTTTAGAAGTTTTAAAAAATAATTTTACTCTAGTTGTGTATTATATATTATTTATAATAGATATACAAATATCACTACTAAACTAGATTCATAAAATAAATCAGCAGCAATACAGGAAAAATCTTTTTTTAATTTTACAATTTCTCTTTTTGCATAAATAATTTTAGGGTTAGCAGCAATTATCATTTAGATTTTTGTATTAATTATTGTTTTTAGACCTTTAAGATAATTTAGCAAAATTATTAAATAATATACACTATCTTAAGGTAATAATATTAATAGTTAAATTTTTAAAATGATTAATAAAAATTCATAAAGATCAGATGCAGTGTCTACTTTATAAAATAAAATAATCAATTTTTCTTAAACCTTATTTAAAAGCAAGGAAAGAAAATGTGATATGTGCAAAATTTGGGAATCCTTTTCATATAATTTAAAAGAATCTGATTTTGATCTAGATTAAATTAAAAATCAATTTTTAAATTTAAAAAATGGATAGCAAGAGTTCAATCCTAAAATGTTAAAAATAATAAAACTAGGAATAAATTGATTATAAAAATATATTTATATATTTTATGAATTAAAGTATTTTTTTATTTAAAAAAGAAAAATATAGAGAAGCACTCAGAAAGCAAAGAAATGAGGATGAATTTCGAATTTGTAGATTCTTACCAAATTTTTGTTAAAAAGGAAAAATTTCTTCAATACTATTAAGTTTTCATACATCAATAGAACAATCAAGCAAAATGATTTTAAGCAATAATGAATTGATGTAGAGAGTGTATAAAAATTAATAAAACAAAAATGCATTATTGCTTTTGTCAAATATTTCAGCTTCAGAATAAAAATCAAGTGTAGATAGATTGATAAAAGATTAATACTTACACATAATGTTTCTTGAAATTATTTAATCAAAATAGAGTAATATTTATTAACTGCAATATGCATGTGAAGGTTTGACTAATCTCTTAAATTCTAAAATTAATATTTAATCTGAATTGATAGATTTACTTAATTAGGATCTTATTACCTCCATTATAAAATTAAGGGAATAAGTCGATGAAAATTAAATAGTTGATAAAGATAGTATACTTTACTTATGTCTTAGTATCTTGATTAAGATATAAACTTATCAATTATAAAATTATATTAGTAAACCATAACTTATTGATTTATTTTTAATGAATATTAATTGGTTTGAAAAAAATATTTAAGTTTCTTGTGAAAATATAATACTTATTTGTTCAGATATTGAAGGATTAGTAGATTTAATAGATAATTAAAAAATTAATATAATGATTGACTGCGCATTTAATTCATTACTAAATAGAGAATATGACATCACATATTGGATTTTAAGAGCAATAAATACTCTTATAGATTTTTCATATTGCGATTAAAAAATATTAGGGATTGTCAAAAATTCTAAAATTACTTTATTATTATAGAGGATTTTTAAAGGAAATTAAAGTTAATAAAGTTTATTATTGGAAGTGGGCTTGGAAGTATTTTATTGTATAATTTCATAGTTTATTTATAAAGCATTATAATTTTAAAGCCAGGAGATTCGATTTTTCTTTTTAACCTTTTTGAATGATATTAAAGATTTAATTGATACTAAAGTTTAAAATTCTTTGCTAGTTATGTGTAGTTTTGTATTAGTCATTCTTTGTGAGTAAGTAGATTAACAAGAATCAGGGGATATTATTTCATTATAATTTAAAATTTTATAATACTTAAATGAGTAAAATTTAATAGATGAAGTAATTGAAACTTTGTAAAATACTTGGAATATGCTTGATGAAAATATTTATAATTTAAACAGCCGATAATAATAATTATTAGAAATATTAGCAGAATCAAAAAATGAAGCCATTTCAGAAATTGCAATCAATATGATGTGCATTTAAAATTCAATATCATGAAAATTAATTAATTATTACTACAATAGGCATATTCATTTATATAAATAAAATTTATTCCAAGTTTTAAATTAAAAAATTTTAATTATTTTGTAAAATTATTAAAATTGATAACAATTAACATAGATTAATTTATTGTAGAGTTGATTAAAGAAAAACTATTTTATTTAAAAGAGAAAATATTTGGCTAAATTTAATAATTAAATTCATTTCGCTTAATTTGTTATTAGAATTCATCCTTAATTATTATCTTCTTCTTCTGAGTAGTAAACCTCCATACATACCGAATTTTCTAATTTAAAAAATTTAATTACTTTTAAATTTAGATGAATTCTTGGAGAGGCTAGGAGGCATTTCAAGATCTTCTAAATCTTCATCCACTTTATTTTCATCTAAAATTGTTTTTGTTAAGCTTTTAGATATAAAATAAAAATCTTAGAGATATTCCTAAAGAACCTAAATTGATTAAAATGGAATGACTTACTCTAGGAATTTATCTATCATCATTTAAAATCTCAATATCTCTATTCTTTTAAACCATTTATATCCAACTTTTATCAAAATTTTTAGTGTAATCAATAAAAATCTAATAAATATTGGTAAATTCAGAGTCATTTAATAAAAATTATTTAGCAGATTTAATTATTTCCTCTGGAATTTCAGTTTATTCAGAATTTACTAATTTTAAATAAAATAAATTTTTACATTTATTACTAGAATATGCTCTATGAATTTTAGGTTGTTAATTGAATTCAAAAAGATCATTTGATTAAAATTAATCATCTTGATAATTTTCTATAATTTATTCAAGATTTTTTTATGATAGAACGACTCTTATTACCTCCATTAATGGTTCTTATTAATTTTAATTTTTTTTATTAATCAAAAAATCATCTACATCAAAATTTAAATTTTCTAATGCAAAATTAAAGAATTTTTAAGCGTCATTTAATGTTGCATCACCTTAAGTATCTAAATATTCATTATTATATGATGATGTAGCAGATATTCTTTCTTGTTTTGGACTTTAAGGTTTCTATGTTTTATAAGCTTAAACAATTTAATCCTAATGAATTTATATGAACTTTTAAAGATAGGAATGCTCTAAATAATAATACAAATATGTATAAATGTGTTCATGTTATAAGTTTTCTATTTTAAATACAAGAGGTTCAGGTAAAAATTCAGATAAAAAACTAAATAATGATAAATTTTAATTTACTTTTTGTCAAATTGCATGAATTCTATAAAAGAAGCTACATTAGATCCAAATACTTATTTAGTTTCATCATAGTATAAACTAGATTCTTATTATACTCTCTCGCTTAATTATTCATAAAATTCTTCATAACAACAATCCTTATGTCCAATCCAATGAACAGATACCTTATTTTAAATGTAACAATACTTCATTAATAGAAATATCTTATATAGATTTATTAAAATTTCTTAATAAACCTGGTATATCTGTATAAAATTTATGTGTAGTTTCAATTTAAAATTAATCTTTTATGCTATTTTTTTATTTTAGTAAAAAATTATCATAAATTTCATATGTAATTTAAAAAGATGGAGTAAAGCCTAAATTTTAATTAACACCTTAATCAAATTCTTTTAAGAACTTTGCTTATCTTTCTGTTTGCATAGTTTTTATAAAACACTCCAAAAGAAGTTTTTAAAATTATTCATTTCTAAGAATCTTAAAATAAATTAAATATTACATTTTTAATCCATAATTAACACATTATTCTCCAAAATGAAAATTTAGGATGTTGAGGATATTTGGGAAAAATATTTTGATGTAATTCATTAACAATATTTTCTAAAGGATATATAATCCCATTCAAATCTACAATTGAATTACTGTAAGCTTCCCAATACATAGTATATTCGCTTAAAAGATCAACACTGTTAGTATTTTGAGTAATAAATGTAGAAAAATACATTTATAATCCTTATAAATAACATTCAACAGAACTATACAATTATTCCAAAAGTTCAATAATACTAATTTAATCATTTTAAAGATCTTCTTATTGTTCTTCTTCTTAAATAATTTATGACTCTACTTAAATTAGAGGCGATTATTTTAATTCAGAAGATTCACTTTATAAATTCCATCTTAATTATAGAAATTTTGATTTAAGTGTTTCATTATTGTTTAATTTTTGGCTCTCTTAATTTATTATCGATTGTTTATTTTATTTTAATAAGTCCATTAGCTAAAATTTAATTCAAATTTTAAATACCTAATCTGATATCAATTAAAAATCAAATAATTTGTCGAAACCCTTTTGTTCTAACTCAAGGCGTTAAGCAAGCATAATTTAGAAATCTGATTCACAATATAATCCTATTGTTTCTCTTTTTAAAATAGGTTTTGGAAAAACTGACTCGCAAAGTAAAAATGGAATTTTTAATGTTTTTCTACCATAAAATTTTTACTTAACTTACTTTTCTTGCATCATTTTTTAATATTGAAGTTTCCAATCAATATAATAATTATCAAAGTTAGCTTAACGAATTTGATCTCTTTAAATAATATCAGGATAATTAATTTCAAGTGTCATTTCTAGTTAATCTTTGAGGAATTATTTATAGTAATTTTCTGCAAAGAATTAATAATGTTTCTACCTATAAAAAAAATATTAAACCTCGACATATTCATTTAAATCACGACAAGTTATTCTCAATGTTAATACATCTTTTAAACTCAAAAAGTATGTAATTCTTTTAAATATTTCATAATTATATAAAGTTTTTGTAGGCATTTCTACATTAGTTTAGATCTCAAGATTTTCATCCTTTATATCCATCTATAAATATTAAATATTTATGAAATAATTCAATGATAATTTTTTTAATAGAGATTGCAAAATAAAATCTGATATATACCAAAGAATAAATATATAGCTTGTATTCAGGAGTAATAAGCAGCAATAAAAGAATCAAATATGAATATATAATCAAATTTAGAAGTTTAGCAAATATATTGAATAAAATATGATTTATACTACTCACTTTTTCATTCTATAAGAAATTTTTTCTGTCAACTAGGATGTAATGACATGTACAGTATCACAATCTGATATTCCTTTATTCATTAGATAATCGTTATCCTCCAAAAGAGTTGTTTCAAATCCTATGTAAAGTCTGTCTGGTGTTAAGTTAATAATTTCAGATAGTTAGTTTTTTAGTTATAATACAGTCTTAGTCTCTGGCTTTACATCCACTTCTACAGTCATTCCTGTAACAAATCGGCAGTATAGTTTTTTAATTTCATTCATTTTATATTATTATTTTTAATAATGTTTTTATATTCTATCACTTGCCCTTTAATATCTTCTGTTAAAGCAATCTCAATTTCATCATTATAATCTAAAAGCTTCTTCTTGCATAATTGCAAACTCTCCTTTATAGATTGCATTTACTATTGCATACTAAAATCATCTTTTTTAATCTCATCTTTATTATCTAAATGAGCCAAAGTAACAGTTTTAAAGAAATTATGAATTCTAGATTTTGTTTATTAAGTTTAAGGTCTATTTCGAAAAGATTAGACACTGTAAACAAGTTAAGGTCTTTCTGAAAGACATTCTAAAAGATAATCATCTTAATAATCAAAAGCTTTTCGAGATGCAGCTGAAGCAGAAGTTGTGCATCTTTAAATTTCTAATTCTTAAGATTATTTTTCAGCATCTCTCATTTATTTTTGAATAACTTGGAGTTATCTTTTATTCAACGAAGGTGAGTCTTTTATTCTTGCTACTTTCAAGGCTCTATTACACAGTTTCTCTATTTCAAGTTCTCTTTTTGCTTAAATACTTAATAATCCCAGTCTACGTAAAATCTCTTTATTCATCATTTATTATTTAGTGCTTCTTTTTATTGAAGCAGGTAATTCCTTTGGTCTTTCGAGAGATTGAAAATGGGTAGTAGTGACTTCTGTAAAAAAAACTGGTTATTTAGAAACCTTCATCTTTCTTATAGAAGGTTTTTAAGGAATTTCTTCGGTAGTAATCATAGGTTCTACAAGTATTCCTACTTTGCTGACTTTTAAATCTTAATTATCTAGACAAAAGTCAATCAAATTTGATTCTGCTTCTTAACTAAAAAGCTATTATTTAGGAAATTAAGAATGAACATATCTCGGTTTAGCTAATTCTTATTCTTCTTTTTAATGTCCAAAATATTTGACAACTAAAAATATTATTAAATCTTAGATTACCTTTTTATTTTAAATCTTCTTTTATATTCGCCATTACTAATCGAATGTTACGTTAAGCCCTTGATTCTGGTTTGTCTTATTTATTCATTTTTCTTAGCTTCTTTATTTAGTAATCTTATACTAAATAATAATATTAAATAAGACTATATATATATATAATTTATTCAAATACCTATTTGTATGAGAATGATGTTTAACTTATAAAATATTAATAAAATTTATAAACATTTCAATGAACTTCTCCCAAAGATTTCAAATAAAAAAACCAATTGTAAGTATTACATTGAATAGTTTGATGATTACTATCCATAGTCAAATAATTATATGTCTTAGCTATCTAAAACAGTGAGTCCAATAACAAATACATAAACAAATTTTTATTCAAACTCATTATAATAATCTTCATATAATTCATTGTATATTACAATATTTAATAATTTAGAACCTAAAGTAGATAAAAAGAGAGAATCTTTTAATAAAAAAAAATTCCAATTAGTATTCAAAAAAACTCTTTATTTGATTTAAAGTCATAAAAATTATCTAATTCCAATATGTATTCAGATATTAGAATATCAGAATTTGATTAACCAATACAATTTTAAGCAGATTAATTAATAAAAAGACCAATTACATAAGAATTGAAACCAAAAATATAAGAATAAAAAATTGTAGATTATAGTCCAATTTTAGAAGAAAAGAATGATAGATTCATTAAAATAGGAGTTATCCTTATAATAATATTATTGTTAATAATAGGGATTCTCAAATTCAAGTGATTTTAAATATTTATATATAATAATAATATCAATTAATCCGTTAAAATGGCTGATCTAGAGTAATCAATAGAAGCAAGAATAGATAAATTTGAATGTATTATATTAAATGATAATTTTATAGCCGATTTAAATAGAGTAAGTTTATAATAAGATGCACTTCTACCACTATTATAAATGATTGAATACATTCCATCAATTCAACGAACAGAATCAAATGTAAAATAAGTGTAAAAAAAATAAGATGTTAATGAATAGAAATAAGGAAGACTTGTATATAATAATATAGATAAATAATTTAGGAAAGATGTGCAGAAAGAAAATTAAGAGAAATAGAATCTATGCCTTAGAAACCTTAATTAGAAGTTTAATAAGTTGATCAAAGAATTAAAGACCTTGAATCTTCAATTAATTGTCTATATAGGTAATAATAATTAATAACAATAGGTGGTATGAAGCAAAGTTGAGAGAAGGTTCTTAATAAATTGTTCGAAGTATTGATGATAAATTAGGAACTGATCCAAATGCAGAATTTAATGACTAATTATTAATTGTTGTTAATTAGACTATTAAAAATGCACTTGATAAAATGAGTGAAGATTTTAGGGGTTAACTTTGTGAAATTAGATAAATGCTTTGATTTTATATATATTAACTGTTAAATAATATTAATAATGCAAGAATTGAGCAATGCTATTATTGAATTTTTCGATTTAGTAATTGAGAAATATATTACAAATTTTGCCAATCCAAAGAGAGAATGGAATTATTTCAAATCTTTATTATCTTCATAAAACATTGATTTAAATAGAATACAAAGTTATCTCAAAGTATTAAAAAATAGCGCTGATTAATAAAAACCAATTTTACGTATAGATCCTATTAAGATGGATAATTATATGACATATGTTTCACCTTTAAGAGATCATAATAAACCTTTTGAATAATAATTTACTCATAAATTTGAAAATGTTTCACTTAACTAATATTTAAGTCAACCGAGATTAGAAAACAATCCTATAGATTCTTGTGTTCTCTTTAAGAAAATAACAACTAAAATTGTTAATTTAATGGATTCTAATAATATACAAATGGCATTAACTAAGGAAATACAAAAACCAATAGAGCGAAAATTAACAGATATAGATAGATACAAATATATACAATAATACAATTTTTGACTGAAAGATATCCATATTCATTTCAATTAAATACAAATCAAACACTTTTGTTAATTATTTCAAAAAGCAAAGCTGATCTTGAACGAGGATTCTCTTCTATTTCATCATCTGCAGGTTTAATTATTTTCATAGTAAATTACTTTTTATATTTCATAATGAATTTTTAGACAGCTTCAGCTTCTAATGAATGGAAAGTAATTATTAAAACTAATTAATTATCAATTATTTGCTAATTTTATACTTTTTCTAAAAATAAATTAAGATTAAGAATTTCTTAATTAACTGCTATTCTCAAAGCTTGAAATGTCTTCATAATTTAATCACTCATAGACAATTAATTTAAAATTTCAATAATTTAATTAGCTCTCTCAAATTTTTATTTCTTTTTTATTTTTAAATTTTACTTATCTATTATCTACAATATTCTTTGCTAATTAGTTTGCCTTGTAAATATTACCATAAATATGAAAGATTTCTCTTAATTCTTATTATGTTCTATTATTTAGTAGATCAGCAGCTGTATATTACATTGATTGAGAATATCTCATATCAAGTATTGAATTCTTCTTATAACTTAGACCATAGGATTCATCATAAACTTAATTTCTGACATATTAATTCAAGAGTCTTACATATTGTAACCAAGATCAGCGAAAATAATATCAAAATATCTAGAATCACTTAATGGTTTATGTTTATAAAAGTTAATAAAGTTATCCTATTTTGCAATGATATTTTGTGGTAAAATTTTGATCATTCTTTCATCAATATCCAATCCTAATCTAAATTATATTTTTAGTTTACATTTTAATATTTTTAACATGTTCTAATAATATTTAACTATGAGCACCAGTTCCAACTGTGCAATCTACCATATCAATATTATCTTTATTAGTCTTTTTTTTAAATTGTTTAACTCTTTCTAAAATTTCTCTATGCATAACTGGATAATGTTTCTTCAATATTGGATTTTCGTCTTAAAGAATTTCAAGGCTCTTTAAAAACTTAAGCCTTCCAAATTTAAACATAATAATATAAATAACATAAAAATGGACGAATAAAAAATTACTCCTTAATTTCTTGTTACACCAGATGAACAATCTCAAGCAATCTTATCTTAATTAGAGAACAATGGTCTCAATCCAGATGTTTATGAATAGATTAAAAATGATCCTCTTTATTTATAACTCAATAATGCTTTATAAGGAATTCCATCTACAGATTAAGAGATATAAAAATTAAATGATGAAAACAGATTGACTTATGAGATGTATACAAAGAAATCTACCTTAAACCATAAAAGAGTTGAAGAGAAATAAAAATTTGTCTTTAAGAAAGGTTTCAAGAAGGCTGAGTAAAAGTTTTATTAAAGTTAATTAAAAATTAGCAAAAAAAAGAAGTAAAATCAATTATCAATTGATTTTTATGAAACTCATTTTAAGATGCTTTCATAAAAAATGAATAAAGATTTAACCTATTTTATCCATCCTCAAAAGTAAGTTTCAATAATTATTAGAGAAAAATGTAAATTGGAATCATCACTTATTAGTCTGGATTTAAGTCATTCAATTAACCTTACATTAAAACGATATTGAAATCCTAATCTTTTAGATAAGAAATTAAAGATTACATTGAAAAACATTTCATCTAAGAAGTACAAGAAGAGATGAGTTATAAGTTATCAAAATTTATTAAATTTTGTTCTAGAATGTATGAAGAAGCTTTGAAAGAATATTATCGGATTTGCGCTAAAAATGATGATGAAGAATATTTTAGAAATTTTATTAGATTGAAAATGGAATAGTTAATAGTTAAAAATTCTAAATGTAAGATTCCATGGTCATTATAAGAAATTATAGATGCCTAAAAATTTGCATTAAATTTGATTGATTAAGAAATGGATATGGAAAATGAATGAAATTTATAAAATATATATATTAAATATTTATCCGCATAATTCTTTATTAATTTATAGAGAAACTTATCTTAAACAAAAAATTATATAAATTATAAAAAGAGTAATTTTTTTTTTTATTAAATACAAAATTCTATTACTCTAAAATGTTATTAGAATTTTGCATTTTAACAAAAATAGTTTTTTTTAATTCGTTTATAGTTAAAAAATATGTTTTATCAAATTTCTAACATAGGTTCTAATTATTTTTCTAAAACTTCTTCTTCCTCTATTTTTTATTAATTCTAATGTTGTTGTTGTTATTTTTATTATTACTATAATAAATTTGTATTTTATTAATTATTTTCAAATGATATTCCATTCAATTGGAGAGGAATAAACTAATTTTGAACAGATTATTGAGTTTCTTGGGTTTATATTTAGTTCAAATTAGATTAAATCACAGTAACAGATGATTATTCTAACTAATATTTTTTAATATGATCTAAAATAGAATCTTTGGGTATCAATTCACCTAGAAATGGATAGAGAATAATATTTTAAGGTTCATTATTATTGTGATTATTCTAATTCTGTTAATTTAAAATTTTGTAGTCATCTTAAGACATAGCATATATTTTGTTAGATTTCATTAATTTTGATTTAATACTCTCTGTAGATGGAAATAATTCCGATTCATTATATTAAGATTTAAATTCTTATGAAATTCTTCTAACTTCACAATCACAATCATCAGGACTACTTGAGGAAGATGAGGAACTATTATGAATAGGATTAACATTATTCAATCTTGTATAAAAATATTAAATACTTAATGGGTTTTTCAAGAGGAATGAAGACTTCATAATTTTCTCTATGTTTTTCAATCCACTCTAATCTTTCAGAGATTGGTCCTTCAATAATTTCTTTTGGTACAACAAAAACAACAGGGATATCATTAATATCATCTTCAGGTGGATTTTATTCTTATTATTAGTTTGATTCTAGTTAAGATTATTGTTATTATGGGGTTTAATGAAATGTTGAAGTTAATTTATTGATCAATTCAGATGCTCCCCATTTAAACCATTATGGTAGTGAAATTATAGCATTTTTTGTACCCTATTATAAGATTATAAATTTAAACTTCAACTGCTTATTAACTAACTTATTATAGAGGCTCAACAATATATCTTTGCACAAGATTTGGTCCTTCTACATTCATTTTTTAAACAACTAAAAAGTTGAAATTCTTTTATTGAGGAACTTCATTTAATTAATGAAAATGTTCTAAAGGTCTACTACTAATAATATCTAGAATAAAAATTATATTTTATTACCTTCATCAAAATTTTCAAATCCGTCTTTATTCATTTTAATTTTAATATATATCAAATGGGATCACAATATTGTAATAATAACTAGTATCCCAAAAATATGGAACTATATTTGAAGATGCAGAATTGCAAAAGCTTGATTTTCTATAATATTATCATAAAATACAATCACAAGAAGAAGCAAAAAGTATTATATTCAAGTTAGCAAATCGCAGTTACTCTAAAAAATTAAGGAATATATATATATACTTAGGTGATTGGATTATAAATAAAAGAGGGAAGGTTAAGGAATTTTAAAATATCCTGATGATTCTGAATATTAAGGTGAATGGAAAAATAATAAAAAAATTGGATAGGTAAATTGATAGAAGTTGATTGAGATATTTATGAAGGATAGTGAGAGGATGATAGTACAATGGATGTTTAATCTTAGGATGGAGTTAAATGTATTAGGGTTCATTTAAAGATTATCTTTAAAACTTGTAGGATGGAAACAAATATGAAGGACATTTCTATGAAGGTATTAAATAAGGATAAGTTAGATATACACGGAATGATGGTTCATAATATACAGGTTTTATTGATTAATAATAAGAGACATTGTTAAGAAGTATAAATTTGGAAAAAGGAAAATAGTTAAAAGGGGAATGGTATGAAGATTATATGTGTGGATAAGGATCTAGAAATGGTCTAATCATTGTTAATTAAAGGTTAATTTAATAAAGACACTCTAAGTAGTTATTTAAGATATTTTAGAAGTTAAGATTTACGAAGGTAATTTTAAAATTATCGAAATCTAATGGTAATGATAAGATGAAGATCTCTTAAAATAGTATTATAATTAATAAGAAGTGTAAAAAGATAACTTGGATGTACTTAATTTAGAGGAATTGTGAAATTCATATATATATACTAATAATCATTATTATGAATTTAAATTATAAAATGGATTCGCTACTTGAATCAGTTGTATTGGTTTGATTGTTAGAATTATTACTTTGATTATTAGTATTATTTGTAAATGTTGTACCACATTTTAAGCATTTTTAATGAGTAGAATCCCATGTATAAGTAAAAGCTGTTGCTTAAAAGCAATTACCTTCTGTTAATGAAGGAAATTCCATAGAAATACATTAAGAACTAGTCAATGCACATAATTCAAAGTTTTTTTGATCAAAATCTAAAATAGGTTAACAAAGGCCAGTTTCTTTAAATTTGGATGAGCAAGTGTGTTAAACACAAACAGATTTAGATGCACTTTCAGTCCATTAACAATTCCATGATTTTTAAAGACAAGTATCTTTATTAGATGAGCCATCAGAACAGTTAGTCATTAATTTACATGCTCCTTCACCATTATTTAAATACCATACACATAAACCATCAGTTCCACCTTATAAACATGCTGTTTCAGTTAGATATTTATCACAAGTGGCTTTAATGACACAACCGATACCACTATCAACACAATTAGATATTGAAGAACAATTATCATTTAATTCTGTACATAATGCTTAACGACATTTGATAATATTAGGATCATATAAACATTTTCCATCAGTTCCTAAAGAAGTATTGCAATACTCTTTAGTATATGTTTCACACTTAGCAATATTTATACATTTTGTATTATCTGAAGTACAAGTTGATAATTAATCATAACATTCTTAATGAGTTATAAGAGTTAAATGTTTACATTCTAATAAGATACATTTCTTTTCTTTATCATCATAATAGCATTTATTTCTTTTAGTATCAATAATACAATTACTTGATTTTGTATATGAAGAACAATCTTATAAATCAATACAACTAGTTTCATCGGTTGTACAAGTGGGATCAACATTTTAACATTAGATATGTGTATTATAGAATGCAGATTTGCATCCATCATATACTTTACATTTACCTTCTCCATTTAAAGTTTCAGGTGTAAATACACATCTACCATCAGTTCCATAAAAACAACTTTAAATAGGTAAATTACTACATTTATCTATTGCTACACAAGATTATCCATCAGTAGTACATTCATTACTAAAAGAATAACATTCAGTATGATCTAGAAATGAAAGTGATTGACATGATGTATAAGCATAACATGCATCCCTAATCCATAAACAAGGTCCATTAATTCCATAAAAACATCCACTCTTAGTTTTCAATTCACAATTTTGTTAATTTACACATTTAATACCATCAGTTGTACATGTACTTTTAGCCGTTTAACATTCTTTGTGAGTTGTAAATGTGTAATCACTACAAACCTTATCTCTACAACCTGCAGCAGAAAATTCACATTCATTACCATCTTTATCACTTGTACATGCTGCCTATATTTTAGCATCTTTACAACTTCCTTTCTATATACAACCACCTGATTGATTTACTGTACAACCTTATTTATAAAGTTAACATTCCTTTTCTGTTACATATTTGCTTGGAGCACTATTACATCCAAAATTTACACATCTATTATTAATCCATGCACATTTATTATTTTATGAATCAGTAACACATGCTTATTAAAGATATGCATCTGTACATGTTGTTCTAATAACACAACCTCTTCCATTTGTTGTGCATTCTATTTTGAACTTTCTACATTCTTCATCTGTTGAATATGATTAAGGTGCATCACTACATTATAATACATTACAACTAGGTTAAAATGCACAATCTTATTTATTTTTATCGATTACACATCCTGATTTTAAGTTATATGAACTACATGAATCAATATCTATGCATCCTTTTCCATTGGTAGTGCATTTTTTACTGTAAAATTAACAAGCTTCATGTGTTGTAAATATTTTATCAGCTTTATCACATGTTTTATCAGTGCATGCATTATTATACCATAAACATTCTCCACCAGTTTTATTTTTAATGCAATTAATTTAACTTGTATATTAAGTGCATTTATCATTTCTCTCTATACATCCAGTTTTAGCAATATTAACTGTGCATGTATCAAGATGATTATTACAAGCTGCATCACTTGTAGTTTAATCAGAATTAGAACAAGTTCTTACTTAACATGCATTAGGAGATGCTTTTTTATTCCAAATACATTTTCCTTCTGTTATACTCTCTATGCAATTTTATTCATACTCATAATTTGAACATAAATTAAATTTATCTACACACCCATTAAAATTTGTACCTGTGTAACTAACAGTACAAGTTTGTAAGAATGTTGAACAAGCCTTAAAAGTATTAAAATTAGCATGAGTACATAATCTATTTACACAATTTGTACCATTCCAAAAACATTATTAACCTGTAATTGTGAAAGTACATTAAAACTGTAATAAATCACTACAATTAACTTTTCTAGCAACACAACCAGCTCTATTATTATTTATCATACATCCATTTAAATAATAATTACATTCATCATCAGATGAAATTAATGAATTAGCTGTAAGACATGTTTTTTAAATACATTTATTGTTTACCCATAAACAGAAAATAGTATTATTATTGGCCATATAACATTATTCTTATTTTAAGTAATTACTACAATTTAATTCTTAAATTTAACAACCTGCTAAATCTTTTTATACTGTACAAATTTTTAACCAATCCTAGCATTCATTATGAGTATTATATTCATCATTTGCATTTTAACATGTTCTGACAACACAAGATCCACTCCAAACACATTATTAATTTTAATAATCTACACTACATAATTATTCTGTTTTATATGTGCTACAAGATCTTACTCCACATTTATCATTCACTAATGTGCATATTGGTATAAATCTACTACATGTTTATTCAGAGTAGATTGCCAAAACAGCATTTGTACAATTCTTATTTACACAACTTGTACCATTCCAATAACATATTTGAGTTTCATCTAATGTTTTTAAACATTAATTTTCTGTAGTATATCCAGTACATGTACTCATTCTCTTAATACAACCACTATTTGTGGCATTCACAGTGCATTCACTTTTAAATTGAGAACATAATTAATCAGTATTTGTAGTACTTAAAGCATTTTCACATACCCATGTTTTACATCCTGAACTAGCAGTACAATTCTCTTAACCTTCAATACATGTTATAGAAAACCAAAAACAGATTGTTCCATTCACAGAAATACATTAACTTTCTTTTGTATAATTTTCACATGTTTAGGGACTATCCATACAACCTTGCAGATTTTCATTCACTGAGCATGATCCTAAAAATAACTCACATTATGCTTAAGTGTTATAACTTGAAGGAGCATTTGTACAATTTTTTTCTTTGCATGATCCATTATCCCAAAAACATGAATTACCCAAAGTATTAATAATACAACCTTTTTCTGTTTACTTAGTACAATCATCCTCAATATTTGTACAACCGCCAGTTTCTTTGACAGTGCATTATAATGATTTATCATTACCCATCATATTACATTTTTGATGGGAATCATAGGTAGTTGGAAATTAATTGCATGCAGATATTTCTTAACATTTTTTATTTTCAATATCCCAAAAACAAGGAAACTGTTAAGTATTAATTTCACATGCAGTTTAAACAAGATAATCATCACAAACTGTACTTATATTTATACATTTTTCTCCATCGCTAGTACATAAGGGTGAGATAGCTTGACAATCAATATGTGTTGCAGCTGTATAAACTGTACAACCACTAAATGGCTTGCACTTTTTATTATAGAATGCACAACCTGTAACAGGACAGGTATTGCTTTAAGAACAATAAGATTCAATATCAGTTGATTTACGGGTCTCGCATAAAGCTGATGTGCTGTTCCATTAGCAATCTATTTATGCATTACAATCCAATAAACTTAAAATTTGTTTACAAATACAGGCCTCTGATTTTATTAGAGTTCCTGCAAACACTTAGGAGATAAAAAATAAAAGTAGGACTGCTCTAATTTTCATTAATAAAATAATATAAGTATTTTTTGAAATTGTATGATGACACTTATATATCTGAATGTTGGATGTTTATTTAGAATAAAAAAGTCTTTTTTTATTGATGAATATATTTGATAAATTGGTTAAAATAATCAGGAGATCAAGAAAATGAACTAAAAATTTTAAGAGTACCCATAAGTTTTAAAAAAAATTATATATTTATTAATCTAACTTTTGGATATTAATCTAATAAAAATAATTTGAGATCCAAAATAAACAGAAATTCTTATATATCATCAAGTTTAAATAATTAACATTAATACTCCCATAAAAGCAGTTAGGATATATCCATATCTTCCCATAGAATCACTAAAACAATTTAAAAGCAATTTTATACATTTCTCCAGCAAAATGATGAATCATTTTAATTTCTGAAACAAATGAAGGTATATTTGCTTGGATAATTAAATCATAAACTAATTCATTAAATTTATCAGCATCTGCATTTTTGTTTTCTTAAATCAATTTTTGAGCTGCATTATCTAAAACTTATAGTTTTTCTCTTGGAGATTTTTTATAAACTATACTTTAGAGAATAGTAACAGCTTTTTCTTATTTGATTTGAGATTTTATTTTCTTTTATATATTTGTTCTATAAGCAATTATTTTGCTATTTAATCCTTTGTCGTATTGTAATTTAACGAAATCATAAAAAGATTCATTTGTAAATAGTTCATCTAAAATAAGGAGTTTAATTTCATCAACTGTTTAAGTGGTCTTGTAGAATTTTGAGATGAGATCAGCAAAGAATTGTATAAATTGATTAATCTCCATTTTTAAATCGATGTGACTATGAAATAGAGATAGAAAGATACAAATCAGTTGCCTTAATAAAACTCTAAGCTAATTATGATTATTAACTCTTATCCGAAATGATGATGGATGTAGAAACTAATGAAATCTTCATTTATGAATGAAACATCAAATCTTTTGGGTTTTGAACAAAGCTATAAAATATATCACTTATCATTTATTTTCTAATATGTAAATGTTATTAAATGGTTTTAAGTGTAGGCTAAACTCTATATTCATTTAATAATGGCATATGGTTGTAATCTTTATTGATGATCTCATTCACTCGAGCATGCCAACTGCAAGAGAGGAAAAGCTTCACTAATATCTGGAATTGTTGATATACATTCTGAACCAAGAGTATGTGATTATCTCTAGGATTCTTCCTAAGTACAACACATTGTCTTATTTCCCATTAATTAATTAACGAACATGAATAATCTACAATGTCTGAATTACAACATTGCTAATCCACTTGACAATTACATCATAGGTGAATAAATTAATATATATAGAGTAGTCCATTGGCAAGGGAACCTTTGGTAAAGTTTATAGAGGTCTTCATAAACCAACTTAATAATTTGTAGCTATTAAGATTCTTGAGAAGAGCAGAATTGAATAAGCTGCAGATTTCACAAGGATATAAAGAGAAATTCATATACTTCGTAAACTTCGACATCCAAATATTGTTTAATTATATGAAATACTTGAATCAGAAACTAAAATATATCTCATCATGGAGTTTATAAGTGGAGGTGAACTATTCCAACACATAATAAAACATAAGAGACTTTCAGAGAGTGAAGCTGCTGCACTCTTTTCATAAATCATTGAAGCTATAGAATATTTACATTCTCTTAAAGTTGCTCATAGAGATCTTAAACCTGAAAATCTACTTCTAGAAAAAGACACTCTAAAAGTAGTTGATTTTGGTTTAAGTAATATCTATTCTGATCTACTTTCCACTCCTTGTGGTTCTCCTTGCTATGCTGCTCCAGAAATGGTCTCAGGCATCTAATATTCAGGTATCAAGACCGATATTTGGGCTAGTGGCATAATCTTATATGCCATGCTTTGTGGATATGTACCTTTTGAAGACTCAAACACAAGAAAACTTTATGACAAAATCAAAAATTCAGATTTCCAAAGGCCTTCTCATCTGAGTCCTCAAGTCATAGATTTATTATAAGGTTTATTAAATAAGAATCCTATTAATAGATTGAGTATTGCTAAAATTAAAATGCATCCCTTTATTAGGTATTATTATTCTTTTTATTTTTAAGCAAGCATTCTTATTCTGTTTAAATTCATCGCACTTTAGCTATCAATTCAAACATTATAAAATAGTTATAAACAATTGGAATTGATAGTTAAAAATGCAGAGAAATGATCATCAATAATAAACACAATCCTATTACTACTACCTATCATCTTTTAAATAAATATTCAAAGCCTGCTTAACAAAGCTAAAGAGTCAGAACTCATTAGAGCATTAAATCAGTGGTCGATAAACCAAGTAATTCTATTGAAAGAAGACCTAATTCAAGCATTTACCACAATAAAACTAAATCATATGAAAATAATTACAATACTGCTATGCATATGAATCGTGCATTTGATAATCGTATATCAGAAAGACCTAAATCTACTGAAAGAAGAGTTTGCACAGAAAATGACAGATGGGAACGAATCAAAACTTAATATGAGACCAAAGAAAATTCTTAACGAAAAACTCATATATTAAAACCAAGTAAATCACCAGTTATGTATGCAGAGTATAAATTGAAAACAGCAAGAATTATGTGATTAATATATATAATAAATGAAGAATTAAATTTCTAGTTTGATACTCAAAACATACAACATTTTAGAAGTATTCAAAATCACTAATTTAGAATAATATGTATGAAGATATAGTTAGTTGGAATCAAGATGGGTTATCTTTTACAGTCAAAAATATAAATTAATTCTCATCGATTGTTCTACCCAACCACTTCAAGCATTTGAATTTCTCTTCATATATTAAGATGGTAATTTTTGTTATCACATTAAGTTAAACATGCATGATTTTCATAAAACATAAATAGAAAGTGTCAATGAATTTAAAAATGAATATTTCCAAAAAGGCAGAAAGTATAAACCACATTAATTAGGGATCTACTTCATCAAATTAAACGATAAGCACATAATAAACTTAAAGCACTTAGCTAGTCTATTCAACATGATTCCTAAGATAAATTAGATTAAGTAACAACTATAATTTTATTATTAAATCTAGCTTTCCTAAAAATGTGATTATTTGAATAACCTTTGCTCTTCACTTTTCGAAAGAAATCATAAAGTTATAAAAGATAATAAATCTCTCTTAAAAGTTGTTACTAGCCATAGTAAAATCTATTTTCAAGATGAAATTTAACACCAAGAATAATTGTGTATAAAAAAAGAAGAATTAACAAATAATGATTTATGAAGATATCTATGTTTTTATAAATTAAATTTGTATAAATAAGGAATTTTACATTTTTACATTTTTTAGCTTCAATTATATTCAAAAATCCTTTTTTTCTAAATTCATTTAATAAATCATCAAATTTTATAAAATTAATGAAACTCTTAATCATATTTAAGATGCTCATTATAGAAGAAAATTAAAAATAACCTCTTTTTATAATAAAATAATAAACTACATAATTAAATTAAAATTCTTAAAGTATTAGACATTCAAAATTAATCTTTATTATTTTTTCTCAATTCAGAAACAAATTAAAATTAATAACATGGTATTGTATTAAAGTATTTATTTTTTAAGTTTATAAGGTTTTCAAATGACATATTGTAAATATGAGAATTATTTTTTTTTATATATTTTAAGTTATCAAAGAAATAATATAAAATGGAGAAAAAGCAAAAACATAATTAAGAGAATAAGTTTAATCTTAAAAACTTTATTTTATTATGATTTGTTAACAAGAAGGGATTAGCCTTTGAAGCTTTAGAAAATTAAATAAATTTATGATTTGTTTACACTTATGTTTATTCAATAGACGCTTTAAAAAGGAAAAGTTCTTTTTTAAATATTTTTAAAAATAGATGTAATCCATTATATTTGATGATAATAATAATAATTATTATTTTAATTTTATAATATGCATTCAGAGTCAGTAAGATAAAAGGCGATTAGATATATAAATGAACTATAAACAGAAGATGATGATAGATTTCTTCCTTACAAATAAGAAAGAGATCATGTTGGTTTATTATTGAATACCTAAAGAAAATCAAAATCGAATAATTAATTGAATACAAAAGCTCGAATCAAACATGTTTATAGTTTAGCTTCAATTACTAAATAATAGCCATCTTAATCAACTTAATAAAATACTGTTTAGAAACATAAAAAAGAAAACAGTGCTCATAATTTAGACTTATCACTTCTATTCAACTTATAACCTCCATCTCCTGAAGAATAAGTTAAAGCTAAATAATATAAAGATATGATGGAAAAGAAAGCTCTATTAGAAATGTATGAAAGAAAGAAAGATACTAAAGTTGTTAGTCCTGCTTTAGAATAGATGATTGAAAAACTCAATTCAAGTATTACACAAGATAAGTTTGTATGGAAAATGAGTAATGTAGATAAAGGTAGAAATCTTGGTTATTTATTTCATGAATCTAAATTAAGAAAACATAATCGTAAAATTTAGAAACTACAGCCTTCTCTTCCTAATTATGAACCTAATTATCAAGCAATTCTACCAAAATCTATATCAATACTTATTAAACCAAGTGAGAAACCTTCTTATTCTTAACAAATCTAAGAGTTCATAAGAAAAAATCAGTTAGATAAGGAAGCATCTAAACAACCTTAAACTAACATTTCTAAGAAAGATAATACTCTTGAAAAAATGTATAGCATAATTTAGAATCAAATTACAAGAGAAGTGAATTAATCACTTATATCCAATCCATAATCAATGAATCCTTTAGAAGAATTTAGTGCAAAACCTATTGAAGACACTTATATATAATAATTTCATTTACAAGTTAAACAAAAAATGAAAGAAACAAATAGAGCTAGGAAGAATATCTAAAATAAAATATAAGAATTTGATTCTTATTTATAAAAACACAATTGATTTCTATTTAAGACTCATAATAATTAAGGTTTTTAAATTCAAAATTGATAACCATTATTCATAATCCTTTTTATTTAAGTTCTAAACTTTTTTAAATATTAATGTCTAAAATATCAAATTTATACATATAATTTATTAAGTAGAATGTCAGAGGATGAATCTGATTAAGTTTTTGAAGAAGGACCATCAAAGAAATGTAATTGTAAAAACTCTAAATGCATAAAACTCTATTGTGAATGTTATCAAAATAAAGTATTTTGTGATAATAATTGTCATTGTCATAATTGCTTTAACAATTCATCTAATGCTGTATTATTCAATTTATAAAATAGAAATAAAGATAAAAAGCCATGCAATCCACATTAGAAAAAAACCCAAGTGCCTTTTAGCCGAAGATCACAACTTCTGATTCAAAACCTGATCCATTAAATTTTGGAAAACATAACAAAGGTTGTCAATGCAAAAAGAGTGGTTGCATGAAAAAATATTGTGAATGCTTCTAAGCTAAAGTGCCTTGTTCAGATTAATGTAAATGCATCGAATGTCGAAATTATGGATTCTTAACTAAAGAACATTTTATAAGAGCTACTAGAGGTGATGAAGATGATTTTTTATGTAACAAAATTAAAGTTAATTAGATTAATTGTTATTGACAAAGGATTAAGATCATTTATAATCAGTGCTTTCATATAAAAAACCATTATTTGAGCAAAAAGAAATTGAAGATGTTAGTAATTAAATAAAAAAAATTATCTCATCTAATGAAACAGGTCCAATAGATCCTATACTTGATGTTTTTATTAAATTACTAAAAAACGCCTCTGATTGATATAAATTAGTAAATCTATAAAGTTTTCATATTCTAACAAATATTTCTTTATTTTATTTATTATTTCATATCAAAACGCGACCTAATTATTTATTTTAAGGCTATTCAATTAATTAAGATTAGTTCATACTTTAATTACAAATAAATAAATGCTTAAGTATTATTTTTTTATAAATGTTATACAAATATCTTTTTATCAAATAATTAAACTTTTTATATTTAGTTGGTTATTTAAATATAAAAGACTTAAATTGTTTGAAATGTTTTATTGAATTCAAATTTTATAAATAACTTTGCTTGCAAAATAATCGTCTGAATGATTTCTATTAATAATAATAGATTATTTCTTTTTTAATGATAGATTTTCAAAAAAAAGACTTATAAGACCCGAGAAAATGTTTTAAGTGTCAAGAAAATTATTAAAATCTTAAGGAATTAACAACATTTTGACTTGAATATATAAATTCTTATCTCATCTTTTGGGATTAAATTAATGAAATTTACAACTTAATATTTCAGATTTCTAAAGTCCAGAATACTCTAGGGATGTAACTAACAGTAATAAAAAAATTTAATAAAAATATTATATCGTAATGGTTTCATAAAACAGCATAAATTTTCTCCTCTTTTTAAAACTTAATAATAATTCTTCAAATAAAAAATTTTGATACTAAATTTTATCGAAATTAAGTAAGAAGTTATAAAGGGAGAAAAAATGCTTTATAAGCTATCCAAAATATTAAAAATAATATAGTAGTTTAATCTTCAAAAAGCAAAGACGTTATTCAAAGATGTCTAAAGGTAAATAAGTTATTCTAATTTTTTACTAATTGTTACCATTGAACCATTTTAAATATTTTAAATTTTGATTAAATCTAACTTTATAATGTTAATAAATATTTATGTATTTAAGAATTTTTTTAAACAACACTAATATCTTAAAAGATAGGTGAGAAAAAAAATAAGGAAAATTCAATAAAATTATGAAATTAATAAAAAATAAAAATTAGATTAATAAAATTAGAGTATTTATTTAAAACTCATAAATAGCACTTTTCTTTTATAATTTTATTTAGCATTAAAGAGATTGAAAAAATTTGATCTTCAAAAATAATTATATTTTAATGAAAAAGACTTTTGTAAATTTATTAATATTTTCCTTTTTTCTACTTACAATGAAATATAGGATCTGCATGAAAACTACTCAAAATCATCCTAAAATATGAAAAGATTAAGAAAATGAGTGAAAAACAAAAAAATAAAATGTTTTATAGAAATTATTTTTATTGATTTTCATACTTAAAGTGAATAAAATTTATGACATAAATTTATGAATCCTATTAATTAAAATAATCTTTATCAAATTTAAAAATCAAAAATTTTAATATTAAACTATTAAATTCTTAAGTAAGAGATAAATAAAGTATTTAGTATCTATTTTTCTATGTAAAAACTTACGATAAGTCCTTAAAGAAGCTAGTTGAATATTTTTATTATAATAAAATTTACTTATTTTAAAAATAATATTAGTATTTAAAAGGATTAGTAATTTAAAAGTATGACTCTGATTATAATTCAATAATTTATTCTCGATTGATTAGTTTAGTTAAAATTTATATTATCAAATTGCGAAATGTTGCAAATCAATTATTGATTAATATATTTTCAAATGAAAATTAAAAGATAATGTTGCAATACTACAAATTCTTGGAAAGTATCAGATTGGAGACTTAGATCATAAATATTCATAGCATAGATTTTTTTCTTAATTTTAATAACAATAATGGTTGGATGTAGCATTTTAGCCGTATAATATAAAATAATAGACTAAATCGCAAACGAATCAAAATATGTATTACAACAAAAAATTATGGGTCGATAATCCACAAATTATTAAACATTATTTATTGAGTAGCTAAATAATGGTTTCTTTTCTGGAGCTTAGTCTATTTACTCTATCAGCGATTTATATTAATATGCTATTGAATTAGATGTAAGCTTTTAAAAAAATTTGGATGATTGTAATATTTTTTAAGAAAATGTCTCTGACACATTGAATTTAATTCAAAAATCCTTTTGTTTTTGTTATGGTTTATCAAATTAATCTGCACAGTAAGAACAATATTATGATAAATTAATTTTATCTAATTTTCTTAGTTAAACAGCTTCTATGCAAAGATTGCATTATCAAATATATTATTCAGCAACAAGTGAAGATTAGTTTTATTCTATTGATCCTTGTCAACCTATACCAAAAGAATGGATTCCTAAAGAAAGACCTTGGTATCTATCACATAATCAAACTTCATCTTACTTATAAATAACAGACATGTATTTGGAAATAGATATTGGTGTTTGTTTTACTTAAACAAAAAGTCTTTTTAATAAAGAAAATAATACTATAGCTATACTTGCAAATGATTTAACTATGGATTAGTTTACTTTATACGATCAAATACTACCAGTAAAATTTATGGTAATTGATGAAAGAGGATAAATTTTATTGAATGAACTTTATTTAAAAGAATAAACAGAGATTTACTATTTTTAAAATATTTCAAAAACAGGTTTCAATTGGTAAGACTTTTAAACTCTTTTAAGTTTTAAAAATGGTCGACCTTATGAAGATTAATGTCCAATAAATATCGATAATACATTTTGTTTATTTAATAAATTGGAATAAAAAATTAAATTTATAAGTCTAAGTAACATAAGAAATTTGCGTTATACATTAGTTTCAGAATATGATCCTGATTTATACTTAGATGATATGAATATGTTATTATAAGAAATTGAGAATAAAAAAAGATTATCAATTTTTATTTTTTTGGGTGTGATTGGATTTTCGATTTCATTATTTTTTGTATCATTTTTGATTAATACTCTAATTCTTTAAAAGCCATTATAAAATTTACTCTATTATACAAATTTACTTAATAAAAATACGAAAGTAATAAAATAAAAGAAAATGGTATTTTCAGATTCAAATACAATTGGAAGGCTAAATTTGGCATTTTCAAATTTATTAAATTAACAAAATTAAGGTAGAGAAGATAATAAAGAATTAGCAAGATTAAGATTTGATATGTATTCTGAATATTAGAAAAAATAAAAAGAGTATAAACTTAATTTAAGAAAATATCTAGCAAAAGCAAATTTGTTGGTAATTATAAATAAATAATTTAAGGATTTAGAATTTTCAAAGCAATAAAAAACAAAAGATGATAAAAAAACAATGATTGAATAAATGAAAATGAAAAAAATGATATTTTCATCTTTTTAAGAAATAAATTAAAGATGAAATTACTTATAAATTATTAGAATGAATTTTGCTATTTTTTGATGTATAAAATCATAATTTTGGTTATTACTTTTCTAATTTTTCAAGAATATCAGGATTAGATGTTTGATCTTTTCTGGGTCTTCCAGATTTTGTATTGTATTTTTTATAAAGAGCAACAATGCATGCTCCTCCTAAACCAATATTATGTTAAAGAGCATATTGTAATCCAGGAACTTATCTTTCTTCAGCCATTCCTCTTAATTACCAACATAATTCAGCACATTAAGCTAAACCAGTCGCACCTAATGGATGTCCTTTTGAAATTAATCCTCCAGAAGGCTTTGAGTTTAATATTATATATATACATTCACAACTACACGTCCTCCATAAGTATTGTATCCTTTGTCTATAAAATCTCCAGCTTTTCCTTCTTCACATAAACCTAATGCTTCATATGTAATCAATTCATTTGCTGAAAAACAATCATGTAATTCACAGACACCAATTTATGATGGTTTTATACCTGTTTATGAATAAATCTATTAAGCTGCCCTTTTGCTCATTTCATATCCTGCCAAATTCATTAGACTCTGTTCAGTGAATGTTTTTTCACTATCTGTAGTCATAGTAATTCCTAAAATTTAAACTGCTTAATCTTATAAATTGTGTTGTAACAGAAACTTTTCTGTACAAACAATAGCTGCAGCTGCACCATCAGATGTTGGACAACATTAAAGTTTAGTTAAAGGACCATGTATCTTTGGAGAGGTAACTATTTCTTAAAGTGTATATTTATCTCTGAATTAACTATAGGGATTTCTAGTTGAATGAAGATGGTTTTTATATGCAATAAGTGCAAAATGTTCTGGTTTTGTGCCATATTTTTTCATATGTTCAATTCCTGCATTTCCAAAAATTTAGGGGGCAAATGGAGCTGTACTTTGTTCTCCCATTTCCATGGTTTTTAGAACTATTTTATCAAGTGGTTAAGTTCTGTCTGGGAATTTCATATTCAATGATCCTTTTTCCATCTTTTCAAATCCAAGTGCTAATGCACAATCATAAAGTCCTCCTTTCAAAAGTTAAGTCACCATATGTAAGGCACTTGACCCTGTTGAACAATTATTGTTAACATTATATACTGGAATTCCACTCATTCCAACTTCATATAATGCTCTCTATCCACATGTTGAATCCCCATAAACATATCCTATAGAAGCTACTTAAACAGCTGAATATGGAATGTTGGCATCTCTCAGTGCTCTTCTCGTAGCCTAAGCTGCCATTTCTGGATAGTCAGGGTTTCCATCTCGACCAGGTTTTATAAACTTCGTCATTCCAACACCAACTACGTAAACATTCATTGTTATATAAATTATTTAAATTAATTCAAATATATCTAGAATTCTTTTCCATTCTAAAATTCTTTCTACAATTTTACTCAGAAATTTTATAATGCATAGATTGTTGATTATATTATTAACACATACCGATATGGTTTCAAAAAGATTAAAAATTTTATATTTAATTCCTATTTTATTTAATAGATTCAATATAAATTATTCTCATAATTTATAATATCTTCTAATAAATTTACTAAAACTTTGTTATATTCTTTATTTTCTATATTTTAATTATTTATTCCCAATTTTAATAATTTAATCAACCATTTACTCACAATTTTCTATTGTAAATTAATCTTCAAAATTGGAAATACATTATCCATGAATAAAATTTAAGAATAATTTATTATCGCTTTTGATTCAGAATATCTTAGTTATTCTAAACTACCATTCACATTTTTTAGGTTGTGCACTGGTTATGAAAGTTAATAATATGCATCACTTAATCTTTCAATCAATTATTCAACAAATTCTAAGGGCTCAGAAGTTAAAAAAATAATTAATTTTGCTGAAATAAATTCTTAATTAATAAAACTTAATTAATTATTTTTAGTTTAATAATCCTATTAATTATCAAACTCCTCTGTTTCATTCTATCCTTTATTATATTCCATACCCCATGATTCCAAAAAATATCTCATATATAAATGAGTGTTAAATTTTTTGCATTTTTAATATTATTCGCTAAATATTGTTAAAATTTATGCTTTATTTTATTAAGATATTGAATTATTAAATTTAATAGCATAAACTTCAAGAATTTCTAAACATTTTTATTGAATAGACATTTTTGATGAGCATTCATGAGCATTAATTTTAAAGCTAAATTTTTTTGGTCTTATGTCTTCTTTTAAGAGTTCCTCAAGAGGTTTTTAAAAATCTTCATCTAAATTATAAGCCTCAAACAGTTCATTTGGAGAACACTTCTACAATAAATACTGTATTTATTCAATCATAATAGTCCAATTTTCTTCTGTAAAGAATAACCCACTTTATTAAACTATGGTTTTAAAGGAGTCAAGACATAAAGTTGAAAGAAACTTAAACTAAATAAATAATTATTACATCTTAGGTTTACAACACGAGCTAAATATATATATCAATTAAATCATTTAAACAAGACTACATTTATTAGAAATATAAAATGACTAATTCTGTGAATAAATTAAAAGTTGATTAACAACTTTTAATTACCTATTATTTTGTTTAGGATTGTTTAGTAAATTGTAATCTGGAAAATTAAATTTCATCAAATAAAGGCCGTATCACACCTCTTAAAATCATTTTCCAAAACTCATTAGATTGTTATACTCCATGTATTCTAAGTAATTCAAATAAAGTATTGACACTTTATTATTAAACTTCTAGGCTTTCATCACTATATAAAACTGAGAGGGTTGACAAAACAGGAATCCATAATTAATCTAGATATTTATTATCGTTTCTTTTAATCAATACTATTTTATCAACTAAAATTTTCAATTAATTGATTGAATTCAATACTATGTTTATTTCTTTGTTCTTGGTTTATTTAATCAATGCTTAAATCAACTCTAAATATATCTCCGAATAAACTTTTTAATTGTTAACATCTTACATAATTTTATCAGTAATCTATACACAAAATCTAGCTAATTATTATTAATCATCCTAAAGTGCTTAATTGACTATATTCATAATAATTTTCCAACCACTCTTGATGGAATTAAAACAAATATTTGTAATCATACACATACAGGATAATATATACTCTCTCAATTAGACCTTTTGTTATTGTTAAGCTTAAGTATGGCTAAATATTTATTCAAACGGTAAAAGAAATTCCTTTTGGAAATGATAGTTTGTTAATTCTGGTTACTCCAAAAATTTGCAACTCAATTGCTTTAATTAATCAATCGCATATATTGCAATATCTACATTTTTTAAGCATCCAACTTCAAGAAAATGTTCTCTCATAATTTCCCACATTCTAGACCATATGATTTTAATTCTATTCATATTAAAATCTGCAACTTCTAATATTCTACTCAACAAGAATATTCTATTGTATTTAATTTCCTCTTTTGAAAGTTCGCATAAAGCACTAATAAATTCTAAAATAGAATTTGAATCCAAATGTATTGAACTATTAAATATTTTATCAATCTATTCATATTATATTTGCTAAAATAGTCTCTCAATATTAATTATATCTTCTTAATTATAACTTTCTTTATAAGGACTATCTACTTTTATTTTCTTAACAACCTAATGTAATTATTCTAATCTTGATATTAATTATAATACTATTTTCCAACTTTTACGTAGATATTACCCAGATTATAGACTAACTTTTATCAAAGTTTATACTCCCAATATTTATTTATAAGTGCTTGGGATATTTGTACAATAGCGATATAAAAAAATTATAAATGTATCTTTTTCCTCATCTAAATCGAATCTACCAATCAATTAAATAAATGCTTAAATTGTTTCAAAGCATAATTATATCTATTTTTAATCATCACTTTATTCTAAGAATACACTTATAGATGCAAATATCACACTCCATGTTTATTACAACTAAGACTTCATATGTTCAATTGAATTAACATAATAAAATGCATCTTAATTGGGATGCTCCTTAAACCATTTTTTTAAAGAATCTTCTGCTTCTCTAGCCAGCACAGCATGTTTCTTTCTTTAATCTACTTAATTTGCTTATTCTAAGGCTCTCTTTGCCTATTCTTTTGCATGCAAAGCCAAAGGTGTTTTTTGAATTCTTGTATAAAACCCTTGCAACATTTCTTAAGGTAAATTTTCACCATCATTTATCCCTTTAGCTAAATTGATGAATTATGCTTATGTCATTTTATCTAAGTTTTTTTCATTATGTAGATCAGTCTACAACATCATAAGTAAATATGAAAGTGTATATGTAGCTTATGCTGATTAGAAAATTCCAGGATTGTCTTCACAATATTTTGAAGCAAATTTTTCCATTATTCTGTCTATTTATTATGATTCACCCGGTAAAGTAAAGAATTCTAACATGTATCTTAAACCTTCATCTACTTGTAATTCTTTAAAGTTCATGAAATCTATATATAACTAAAAGACTTTCTGATCAAATTCATTTGAACCGCCAAATAATTCTCCCAATTTATCTTTATTTATATCCCTGTTTTCCCAAAGAAATTAAGCAAACAATTTAGGGTCTCTGTTTTCCATATATTAACAAGCAATTAAATGTACTATGCAATGTTCAACTTTAAAATTAAATTTTTAAACGGCTTTATTCATTTCTAATTTCATCTATTTCTATTTCTCAAGAGGATCCTATGATAATGATTACTATTAGATGATAGCCTCCTCTTGTTCATCAAATGATTGTATTTAAATCACGTTTTGTGAATCTTCATATTATTCACAGTATTCCTTTAAACTTTAAACATATCCACAAAAATTATCTAAGCATAAAGATTTAAGATATAATTCTTGATTGATAGATATCGAAGCTTAAAATTCTAGTTTACTAAATCTACCTTAAATAATACGACATTGCATATCTAAAATTTTTTAAAGTAAATTATTTTGTCCTACTGAACAATCATAATTGACAAATATTTCTATCACTACTTTAGGACGAGTAAGAATTTTATTGAATACTTTCAAAGTGTACTATTTATGATCAAAAGAACTATTACTACTCTCCAAAAATTTGAAATAAACATTTTCTATCAAAGCTTCTAATTCTTTTTTCATATGACTTCTTACTTTCCAGATTAATTAAATAAAAATGTTTAAGGTTATTATCAATAGTTATTTTTCAGTTGAAAGAGAATTCTTAAGCAATGATTCTAATAGCTATTCTTTCAATATTAATATTAATTTAGGCTTATTTTAAAATATTATGTCACTTTGTGCCAAAGCTTCATATATTAACTCTAAAGAAAAGATTTTACATTTAATAATCATTTGAGCTAATTATGGGTTTTAAGGATCTCTTTAACTCAATTAACTAAGCATTTCTAAAATTTCATAAGCATCGTTAACATATTATTCACTATGAATAGAATGTTAATACGATTAAGAAAAATTATGCATTTAGTGTAAATGCATAAATTTGCATTTTTTACTACAGATTGGTACTTTTGTTTCTTTACAATATTAAGAGGATTGTTTTCTGCAAACGACACACCAACCAAACTTTCCATTTTTTATACCTAATTCATTAACTAAATTAATTTAAATTTAATTTTTATCATTGGTTACATTTCTTAGATTAGGTTCATGTAAATTCAAATCAATAACCTTCATTTTATTTAAGTCATCTAATTATTTCTCATAAATTGATTTTCTTTCACTATAAATTTAAACTTCATCAACTAAACTTAACATTAAAGATTTCATGTATTATTCAGCATTAATCTAGGCCTTGCATTTTCCAAAAACTAATAATTTTTAATTACACTATTATTAAATGGCTTGTTAGTATTCATCTTCTGCAAGTATACCAAAATCTTCAAGTCTTGCAAAATATGTATTAACAATCTTTTAACATGCTTCTTTGCTAGCAGTTATAATTGCAACAACCTTAGAAACTTATTAAATTTAAGGATATTTATACCTGAATGAAGATTTATTAATAGTGAAAATACTCTTGTCACAGCTTCCCCAAAAATAGGATGCTTTCTATTTGTCATAATAGCTTATATTGCTTGAATCATATTTATTTAAACTATTTCTTCCTTCTCCAATTAAGTTTACATTACAAAGTCTAAAGTTATTTCTATTACTCTTTTTTCTCCTATGATTTGCTCTCCATCCAAAAAACCCTACTCTACTATATTCTAAAATAATTAAAAGAATTACTTTTATGTCAAATAAAGCTAATTCAATCAATTTTACCTATTTTGATTCAATACACTATTAATACACCTTCATTAAGTGATTTGCATTATTATATTCCTTAACCTCTTTATTTATTAAATTTAATTACATAGGGTTTCATCTATGAGTTATTTTAATTGATATTATTTTTTTGTAATTGCCTTTTTAATTTTTTCTAATGACTAGTTGATCAAATCACCTAATGTTAATGACATTTTATTAATAAAATTTATAATTCTATATTTATTAATTAATATAGAAGTTCTCATAATGATTTCGTTTGAATTTTACTAATAAGAACAAATGATTTATAATGAATAGATTATCAAAAATTATTAAACTAAGTATTTTATTTTTCATTAAAATTATCCATTTCATATCCAGAAAATTAAGCTAATTGATATTAAAATATATACATTATATCGAATTTCTCCTTAGCATTATTGAATGTTATTAAATAAGCTCATTGTTTTCATCATCTTCAATAGATATTTATCTAGCATCAAAATTATCCTCGTTTTACTAAATTTATAGATTGAATACATTAGGTAAATATGGAGATTTCAGTTCTTTATTCAATAATTTTTACCATGGAAAATTTTTGAACCAGGAGTGCTATCTCAGTTCATAAGGGCCATTAAATCCTAAACGGTTTGCAGGTTTTCTTTGAATCAACTTATAATATTGTAATAAAAATTACTCTATTTATAAAATCTGCAGATTCCAAAGACCAATTATCTGGGATCTCAGATCGTTTAATTTATACTTATTTAGCAAGAATTTAATCTCTAATATCCTTTCTAGTTCGACCACTATAAGGTCTCTAAATATGATATTATTAAATTTATACTTTTCCTAACATAAATTCATATCCAATAACTCCCAAAGCAAAATAATCGACAGCAAAAGAATGGTTTTGTCTACACATCACTTCGGGGGCTATAAATTTATAATTAGAATGATACCCATATATCCAGGAGTTCCTGATGTATCTTATGAATTATCAGGCCTTAGGTTTCTAGCTATTCCAAGATCAGTTATTCTGACATAACCTAAAAGATTTTTTTTTTTAATACCATTTTTGTCAAGAACTAAATTTTCAGGTTTTATATCTCTATGAAGACTATTCTTAGAATGCATATACTCTAATCCAAGAAATATGCAAGCCATAAAGAACCCTTCAATATTAATTAAATTAATACTTGTTTAATCCTCTGAAAATCTTCTCATTTTACCAATGTGATATCTTAGATCTCCACCTTGCATATAATCTAAAACTAAGAAAAGATTTTCCCTGTCTTAAAATGCATAGTATATATTAACTAAAAATCTATATTTGATAAGGTAATTACGGATGCTTTAAATTACTAAGGATGTTTCTTTCATTCATTACTGAATTCACACTTTTTTTTGCAATAATTCTAAAATAGAATTAATAAAATACAAAGCTTTAGACATCTCTTTCATTGCGTATATTTAACCATTTTTTTTATATTCCACCTTCCAAACTTTACCAAAACCACCAATTCCAATAACAAATTAAAAATTGAACATATTCTTTTATACAATTGGTTCATTTATATCTAAAATTTATAATAGAGCTTAACTTTCTTTTTCTTCATCTTGTATAATTTATGATTTATCTTGAAGAATCAAGTAGTTAAGAAATGAAATTTATTTGGGCTATTATTATTTTGAAATCGAAGACTTCTTAGAATGATTTGCTGATGATTATTAGCTAGATGGTATTACTAATTTTTATAAGCCATGCATCATAGGAACAGGTGATCTATCACAATTTTATTCATTTTAGCGGCTTTACATTTACTTAAGTACTTTACTTATTTAACACATTAATCACTTATTAACCTTAAGTTAATTATGATCGAACTACATTCATTTATCCTGAGTCTTGTCTTGAATGAGGTAATCTGTAATTTAAACTTTTCATAACAGTAAATATATAATATAAATTTATTAGAATTATTAGCTTCAAATAACTTATAAGAAATCACAATAAAATTAAGGCAAACATCAAATTAATTTACGTATTCGATACATTCAATGACTTTTCATAAATTTTAGTTATAAAAACAATTATTTTTCTAATTCATGCAGAATAAAAATTGAAAAAATTGTTTAATATTGAGGAAATCATTAAACAGATACTATATTAAGAAATATTAAATTTTAAAGTATGCATTTTTTCTTATTAAAATTTTCAAAAATATCTAATAATGTCAAAACTTGAATCAAACTATAAAAATTTAATTATTTAAAAATGATAAAATAAGGACTTTTTATTTATAAAATAATCCGCCTTTTGTGAAATAAAATTAAAGTTCATAAACTATATTTCTATTTTAGCAGCGACTGTTTTTTAAATTGTGATTATCTTGAATAAAGAAAAATTGAAAAATAAAAAAAGAATAATTTATAAATATTATCATTTTTTATTTTTTAAAATAAGCTAAATTTTTGTTTGAATGTTCACAAAAAATCACAATTTTTAAAAAACGAACATAAAATAATGATTAGCAGTCTTTAATTTTTTTTGTTTCAGAACATTTTATTTTTACAATTTTCTTGATAAACTTATAAAAATTCTTGGATAAAATTGAAGAAAACAAGAATAGAATTTTAAATAATAATTATAAAAAGATAGATCCCTAAATATTTATATTGTAAATATTTTAATTATAATTGATATTTGTATTATTTATTTTAATAATCAATGCATCTTCAACTATATTTGTCAAAATGTCCTCTGTAGTTAAAGAAATCAAATTGCAAGGCTTCTTTCTATTTATCAGTTGATAACTAGTTTGATTGATTATTTTAATTACAGATAAGAAATCTTAATATTTTTCTTAATCCATTTAACAATCAACAAATTACTGTGCTTCCTTTTTACAATTAAAGATATTGCCATCAGACTTAAAAACACATTCTCTTACATCATTAAATGATGCTAAACAAAGAGGATGCATTCTTTCCCTAAAAAAATTTGAACAATATTTACGCTTCTTTATAACATCCAACCAATTCTCTTGCTTTATCTCTACATTACCTTGGATCTTTTGGTATAGGTGTTGTAGTTTATCGGCAGTCCTCATAATTATGAACTTCTGATCTACATTTGTGGAAAGCATACTAAGAGTGAATCAAAACCTCAAATGACTTTGTATTCATCTAATATTTTATTATTTTAATAATTAGAATATTTGATTGGTAAACAAAAGTAAATAATAAAAATTTTAAGCTCAAATTTCATGAATCTATTCAAAATAAAAATATCAATTTGATTCTTAAACATTAAAACAAACAATAAAGACATATATTCATTTAAGATTTTTAGAAATTTTCACGATTTATGTAGAATTTATCCTTTTTTTTTTAATGTGATATTTAAAAATAGTGTCAAAAGTTATTATTAGAAGATTAGAAAATATATATACTTAAATAAAATGAGTTAATAAGGTAAATTTCAATTTTTGAAATTAATTACATATAATCAGAGTATGATGATATCCATAAAAATTATCATTAAAATATTGATAAGGCTTTCGTTTAATATAAGGCATTAGTTCACTTGATTCTAAATTAATGATTTTGAGCATTAGAGAGAACCAAAATTAAAAAGCAATTTTCTTACTTTCCTTAATAAATATGATTTAAAAAAATTATTATGGAATAAATTGACTCGTTAAAATTTTTATCCGACTTTTTATGCTATTAAAATGAATCAATTTAAAATCAGAACTTGCTCATTTTAAACTTTTATATTTCATGTTGACTTTTGGAAATAGAATTATTTTTTATATATATAATGAAATTTAACACCAAAGAAAATCTTTTCAATTTACATTAATTTAAAAGGAGTTATAAAATAATTATGAAAAGAAAAAAATATTCAATTTTTTAGTTGCAATAAATATATCATATTGTGAACATAAACTCACTTGTTTATTTTAATTCCTATACTTTAAGCTCAAGCTAATCTATATAAACTGACTATTCCTATATTTTTTACGAATAGCTCATTAATTAATCTTATTTAAATTTGAGAGTCATTTCCAGGTCTTTGTTCTTTTTTAAGTATTCATCACTCATTAAAGCTTTAGATCTTAATTCCTTTATTTAGATAAACATTTCATCTTGATGGCTTGATAATTCAGAAATTTATTCTAAATATTTTTTCTCTAATCTTTCTTTATAAACCTTAATTTAAGCTTCTTTTTCTTAATACATTTTTATTTCTTATTGTAAATTTTTAATTTCAATTTTTTAATTGTCCAAATCTTTTTATAACTAAATAATTTTTGCTTTTTAAGTTGCTAAATATTCATTAGGATGTTCATCTTCAAGTAATCCAACTTATTCGCAAAGTTTTTAAATTGCATCATTTTAATTTTTAAGTTTTTTTTCTAACTCACTATTTTATTTTAATAATTCTTCAGCTTCTTTGATTTTGGTACAATTCTATTCATTTTCTATTTTGAGTTGATTAAATTTATCTTCATATTCTATAATTTAATTTTATAGATTAATTTAAGTTAATTTTAATTCTTAAATTTATTTTTCTAATTCTGTAGATTCATTAGTTATTTTTTCATTTTAAAGCTGCAATATTTAAATTTAATCTTTAAATTATTCAGATTACTAAACAAATTGTTCATTTTCTAATTTTAAATGATCTATTTATTTAATTAATTGTTATTCTTTCTCGTTTTATTCAGAAATATGATTTTCGGAGACTTAAGAAAAATCTTCAAGATTTTGAATATGTTCTTTAAGTTCTTCAATTTATTACTGATAATTTTTATCATTAATTTCATATTATTAAATTTAACTTTTTAATAAATTTAGTTCATCTTGCAAATCTTTATCATCGATATCTAATTATATTTATTTTTGTTGGTGTTTTAAATTATCGATTTCTTGTAAATATTGCATTTCTTTTTCTTTGAACTATGACTCTTATTAATGTTATATTTATTCATATTCATATTTCAAATTTTCAATTTCTTATAAATATTATAATTCCTAAACTTGGTTTTGTTATTCTTGATTTGCATTTGTTAATAATATTTATTCATCTTTTGATTTCATATTTAGAATTTCATTTTCTAATTACAATTCCTTTTCTTAAGATTACTATTAATAAATAACTTTTTCTTAAAGTAATTCTTCGTATTAAGTCTTTATAATTTATGATTCTGATTCTTATTGTAATTCTCTTTCTTTAAATTACGATTCTTAAATTTGACTTTAAGACTATAATTATTCAATATGTGATTGAAAATATTGAATCTATTATTAAACTTCTTATTCTTATTTTTAATATTACTATTCTTTCATGTTACTAGATTATTATAAATGTTCAAGTTGTGATTGTAAAGTTATAATTTATTCCTAAAATTCTTATTCGTTTTTTTGTGATTACAATTCTTTCATATTACTTGATTATTATAATTCTTCTAATTTTGACTTCAAATTTGAAATCTCTTATTAACATTCTAATTCTTATTTTTGAGATTACTATTCTTTCATGTTACTTGATTATTATAATTGTTCAAGTTGTGATTGTAAAGTTATAATTTATTCCTAAAATTCTTATTCGTTTTTTTGTGATTACAATTCTTTCATATTACTTGATTATTATAATTCTTCTAATTTTGACTTCAAATTTTAAATCTCTTATTAACATTCTAATTCTTATTTTTGAGATTACTATTCTTTCATGTTACTTGATTATTATAATTGTTCAAGTTGTGATTGTAAAGTTATAATTTATTCCTAAAATTCTTATTCGTTTTTTTGTGATTACAATTCTTTCATATTACTTGATTATTATAATTCTTCTAATTTTGACTTCAAATTTTAAATCTCTTATTAACATTCTAATTCTTATTTTTGAGATTACTATTCTTTCATGTTACTTGATTATTATAATTGTTCAAGTTGTGATTGTAAAGTTATAATTTATTCCTAAAATTCTTATTCGTTTTTTTGTGATTACAATTCTTTCATATTACTTGATTATTATAATTCTTCTAATTTTGACTTCAAATTTTAAATCTCTTATTAACATTCTAATTCTTATTTTTGAGATTACTATTCTTTCATGTTACTTGATTATTATAATTGTTCAAGTTGTGATTGTAAAGTTATAATTTATTCCTAAAATTCTTATTCGTTTTTTTGTGATTACAATTCTTTCATATTACTTGATTATTATAATTCTTCTAATTTTGACTTCAAATTTTAAATCTCTTATTAACATTCTAATTCTTATTTTTGAGATTACTATTCTTTCATGTTACTTGATTATTATAATTGTTCAAGTTGTGATTGTAAAGTTATAATTTATTCCTAAAATTCTTATTCGTTTTTTTGTGATTACAATTCTTTCATATTACTTGATTATTATAATTCTTCTAATTTTGACTTCAAATTTTAAATCTCTTATTAACATTCTAATTCTTATTTTTGAGATTACTATTCTTTCATGTTACTTGATTATTATAATTGTTCAAGTTGTGATTGTAAAGTTATAATTTATTCCTAAAATTCTTATTCGTTTTTTTGTGATTACAATTCTTTCATATTACTTGATTATTATAATTCTTCTAATTTTGACTTCAAATTTTAAATCTCTTATTAACATTCTAATTCTTATTTTTGAGATTACTATTCTTTCATGTTACTTGATTATTATAATTGTTCAAGTTGTGATTGTAAAGTTATAATTTATTCCTAAAATTCTTATTCGTTTTTTTGTGATTACAATTCTTTCATATTACTTGATTATTATAATTCTTCTAATTTTGACTTCAAATTTTAAATCTCTTATTAACATTCTAATTCTTATTTTTGAGATTACTATTCTTTCATGTTACTTGATTATTATAATTGTTCAAGTTGTGATTGTAAAGTTATAATTTATTCCTAAAATTCTTATTCGTTTTTTTGTGATTACAATTCTTTCATATTACTTGATTATTATAATTCTTCTAATTTTGACTTCAAATTTTAAATCTCTTATTAACATTCTAATTCTTATTTTTGAGATTACTATTCTTTCATGTTACTTGATTATTATAATTGTTCAAGTTGTGATTGTAAAGTTATTTGTGATTACAATTCTTTCATATTACTTGATTATTATAATTCTTCTAATTTTGACTTCAAATTTTAAATCTCTTATTAACTTTCTAATTCTTATTTTTGAGATTACTATTCTTTCATGTTACTTGATTATTATAATTGTTCAAGTTATGATTGTAAATTTCTAATCTATTCCTATAAATCTTATTCTTATTTTTGAGATTACTATTCTTTAACGTTACTTGATTATTATTATTCTTCTAATTTGGATTTCAAAATTTAAATCTCTTATTAACTTTCTAATTCTTATTTTTGTGATTACAATTCTTTCATATTACTTGATTATTATAATTCTTCTAATTTTGACTTCAAATTTTAAATCTCTTATTAACTTTCTAATTCTTATTTTTGAGATTACTATTCTTTCATGTTACTTGATTATTATAATTCTACTAATTGTGATTGTAAATTTTCAATTTTTTCCTAAAATTCTTATTCTTTTTTTTGTGATTACTATTCCTTCATATTACTTGATTATTATTATTCTTCTAATTTTGTTTTCAAATTTTAAATCTCTTATTAACTTTCATATTCTTATTTTTGAGATTACTATTCTTTCATGTTACT